CTGGCAGTGAGAGCATTTTTGTTTGCTATTATTGCTTAAATTTAAACAGTTCTTGTTAATTTTGGGTCATTTACCTTACAGAATAGGCATACCAATACTGATTTTATGAGATTTTTTCTTAAGAATGAGTTAATATATGAAAAGTATACACAGTAATAAGTGCTCAAAAATGAGAGAAAAGGGATGAAGAAATGAATGAAGATGTGTTATGAACATGTACCAGCTTCATAGTAAGAATGTACACATTATATACTGCTCACATGTACTAAATAAAAACTACACACACACACACACAAACACAAACACACATATGTGTATATAAGCTCAATGGAAACAAGCAAAAATAAGTGCTCAATAAATGTTTCTGTCTTCTGTTTGTTGAATGTTCTACTTCAGTTTTGAGTTTTATTTATTTTTGGTGCCACGGATCAAACTCAGGATCTTAAGCTTTCCAGACAGGTGTTTATGCTGTTGAGCTACATCCTTAATCCCTATTATAGTGTTCAAAGTAGAGATGATAAAAGTCTTTCTCTTTCTAAAAGTGCTTATTCCTACCCTAAGAAGTGAATGCATATGTCTCCTATCCCTTGCCATCTACCATGCTACAGAACATCCTCTAGCATTTGGTTCAATAGGTGCTTGCATTCATCTAATATTTAATTACGATTTTGGTCTAAGCACTAGAAATATGCAGGTAAACAAGGCAGACAAAACCTAATTATAACACATAAGGTACAAATAAAAGTGAAAAAAAATAAGGTCATTGCTCTTCCACTTGACAGAATAACTGGATTGGAAATTGTGGACTCAGTGTATAGTAGTGAGCAAAGGTCTCCCAGCATATGAGGCATTTGAGCAAAACAATGACATATGAAGAAAAGTCAGTCATGAAACAGGTCAGGGTGAAGGATCCTAGATAGAGGAATCAACAATTGCAAAAGTTGCAGTGCCCTCTGGATAGGATAAAAACTCTGACCTTTCAAAAATAAATTAAATATCAACACAATAAAAAGAACTAGTATTTTAGAGTTCTCTGACTAGCACAAATCACTTCTATTGAGATATTCCTTACATTCAAATAAAACAATCTACCTTAAAGCATCAGAAAGCAGGTCATACATTTTAGGCCCCCTCTTTGAAATTTTCCAATCAATGTAAAATTCAATATGTCAAATATGTTGATTTGATAAGAGAAGGAGAGGGAGGTAATGAAAAAGAGAGTATCTCTATAATCTGTAAAACCAATTCACATGTAAGTACCTAGAATTCCAGACATTTGATTTGTTTATTTAGAATAATGCTGAGTTCTCAGGGAGACCAGACAAGCTCAAAGAGTTAAAAAGAAAAAAAAAAAAAAAAAAAAAAAAGGTAAAATGTCAAGTATCTGCTCATTCTTACCCCAAAATAATTTCTAGACAGCTAGCTGTTGAAATGTACAGCAGTTCATTCAATCCACATTCCTCTTCAGATCTATGCTTTTCTCCATTTTGTTTAAATCAGTTTAAAATATTCCAAGATGCAAGATAAGATTTCACTGAGTTTCTAAATGCTCTGCGACGATAACACTGAAAAATTCAGTTGTGCTATCTTTTTCCAAAAGGAAGAAAACCTTGCCATAATCAGTGAAGCTATTTTTAAATTTCACGAGGGCAGGAATGAAGGTACAAATTAATGAGCTGATGTCATATTAATGTAGTCTTTTTGATCTTGTAATCATGAGCTCTTTATAAATCATGTTTGGTTTCAAGATTCTGATTGGAGACTCCTGGTTGCAGACATATAATTTAAATAACATTAAAGGGAGCTCCAGATGTTTCAAGGGAAACATTTCATACATTTAAGAATGAAAGCACAGAAGATAATCTTGTCTAACTAACAGTGTACTCACAGACAATTTGTTTTACCTTTTAAGCCTTTATATATTTTATTTAGAAGGTAGATTTAGGGGCTCTTTCTGATTTAACATAAGATGAAAATTATTCATGGTGGATAAATCCAGAAAAATAAGTCATAAACTAGAAGGTTTCAGAACCTGATCAGGTGATAAATTTTGAATTATTATTAAGAAAAAAAAATCCTTGGGGCTGGGGATTTAGCTCAGCGGCATAAGCGCCTGCCTTGTAAGCAGGCAGTCGTGAGTTTGATCCCTGGTACCAATGAAAAGGAAAAAGCCAAAAAAAAAAAAAAAAAAAAAAAAAGAAAAGAAAAAAAAAGCCTAGATTACACAATTTTTTGAGAGATTATATTTTATAATTCTACTTTAAAACTATCGTCACCTACATGTGTCCACTGGTTAAAAAGGTCAAAATATAGATAATGTATTTTTGCGATGAGAGCAGATTTTAAGCAGGACTTAAATACTTCTATGAGATCTCTAGACCTTCTACATCATTTGACGAGGTGGGAAAGTTTTCACTACAAAATATATTTTGATAAGTGTAGAGGAGATAAAGGAGGAGAAACAAGTGAAGAAAAGAACCCAATAACAAAAAACTTGACATTTAAAGGTGGTTTTTTTTTTAAAGCCAAAAATCTGAATTACAAAGGAGCTAGTTCAAGATGACTGTGTGGCCAGAAACAGTTCCTATGAGAGAAGGCAGAATAGCAGTTTTATTTTTTCAATGGTGAATGTTTTTGCTCATCTCTGAATTTTCTTCATTAGGTAAAAGCTATTTATTTATTGAAGGTCAGAAATTTTAGCTTAAGTACTATAACAATTGAATAGAACATGCACTGTGATTTCTTCAAGGACCACTCAAGGAAATTTTCCTCCTCTGTGGTTTAAAGGCTTTCTGTGGTGAATTTTTGATAGATGTGTTGTTATGAATATTTATAGTATTGTCAAACATGAAAAATAAAATGTTGCCATTGTAGTATAAAATGTGTTAGATGCTTTCGGAGGAAATAAGAAAATATAATAAAGTATGATTTTTTTTAAACTACGTATCGTGTCTTGATTAACTTTGGCACATAAGACTCTGCCATGCAGTGGTTTAGTAGTGTGTAGTTGTATTAATCAGTCTTTTTCCTTTGGTTTTTTAAATTATCACTCATAAAATTATCTCCAGAAATGAAATCTATTGTTTCACAAATAGTCCATTAAGATTTCTAGGTGTTATTGTGACTGCACATAAAATACTTGGGTATCCAAAGAAAACTAATCAGACTATAAAATGCTGAATATGATGTACAAAGTAGTAGACAGAATCTTCAGCCTGATCACATTACCTACACCTGTCAAATTTACAGTCATTAATATTTATCTATAGTCTTAATTCTATATAATGTATATGTAGAGTATATATACACATTATGTAATGCATATATAATATATATTTAAATCTCAGTTATAAACAACTAAAAGTTATTTCATTAGTTAAATCTGTTCAAATATACAACATCATTGGTTATAGACAAATGCTTACTTCACAAAAGGAATGTTATTTTTGATTGACAAAAAAATCAAGACTGAGTTGTATATGACACATTTTAAAAGAAATACAGGTGCATGTGAGAAAGATTGAAGATGCTCCTGATAAGGTCAATCCTATATATAACTGATTTCAGATCCCATATAAATGTGGACTATTTAAATGTTACTATGTAATAGTGCATCCCACTCAGGAATTATGCAATATTATTGATTTCTAACTTTATTTATTTTAAATATCCTATTTATTGATTTAATTTCAATGTCTACTTAAGGTGACTGTTACAAATATATGAACCATCAAAATTTAAAATATTATAAAAACCAAAAGCCTCACTAGTAAGTACGGGAACGTACTTTAGTGCAAATGGAAATACAAACTAAAGAATGCATTTATTCAGAAAAAGCTTGGATTAGGAAGTAACACAGAAGTTAGGAGTATACTGCAGCTTGAATGTCACTGTATGAGGTTTATTCTGATGAAAAAGAAGAGTGATCCATTTACAAAGTTTGGAGACCAGTTTCATGGTTGCTGCAGTGGCCTGGCGTAGGCTTGAGAGGAATCTCTAATATCTCAGGGACAATTTCAATTATGTGAGACTCCAAGGTCACTATACAATTAGGGTAGTGGAGATTGTGGGAACATTTAAATTTCTTTGAGAATCTGTTATCATGGTGTCCTTAGTCTTGAAGGATAATGAGATAGGCTGGGTTTTGTTTTGAAACTTTTAAACAGATACTTCCTAAATGATGACTTGGACACATGCACAGCTGAGAATAATTTGACTCATGTTTTTACAAAATGAAGATCAAGCTTTGTCGTATTTTAGTTACTTATTGTAACCTGTATGTCAACCTTAGTGAAGAGTTATGATTTTTACCCCCACAACACTTTTTAAAAAAATTTTATTTAAAAGGAAAAAGAGAACAAATCAAAACAAAACAAAGTGGTGTAAGGGTACAAGTAATATAGAGCTACAAAAACAAACAAACAAACAAACAAAAAAAAAAAAAAAAAAAAGAAATCACCAGTTAATAGATTGCACATTATCATCTTAGAGATAGTTGCTCAAGTCACAGAATCAAAGCATACAAGTGGACATTCAAACAGTGAGACTGCAAATAGTTGTGTTCAATGATCCAACCAAAAACATTAATATGGTCAGCTATTAAACACCCCTAAACACACTTGCAGTTGTATCCTTTAGAGCACTTTTTTCCCTCTCTTTTTTACAACAAAGTTTACACATTTTGGGTTTTATTACTCCTTAGTTTGAAAGAGTTAACTTTACAGCTGCAACCCCTGAGCTATCTGTACAAAGCAAGAAGGGACTTTCCGTTGGTCAAAAACCACAGGATGTTCTGTTTCAGTGAGTTAGGCAAGATAAGTAACAGTTCCGGGAACACAGTGACCGGGCTAGGACCCCCGGACACCAAGGTTACCTAACCCTGGGCCCCTCCAATCAGCTTCTGCCAAGCCCTGGCCGTTCAAAACTAACCAATGTGATCTGCTTCTGTAACATCGCCTGCTTTTGCGGTTTGTGCCTTTAAAAACCCTCTGTAACTTCCCTTCGGGGTCCTCCGCACTAGTTTGCTGGATGGACCCCATGCGCATGGAAATAAAGCCTTTTTGCCCCCTTAGAGACGTGGGTCCTTGAGGTCTTCTTCCCTGTGACACCGGCCTTACAAGTTCTTCCCTGTCTTCTTCAGAAGAAAACACAAATCATGCCTTTTGTGAGTAACAGGTTAAGGATCAGGGAGTTTGTGCTTTGGATTTATAGTGATTTCTGACTATGTTATGATATGTCAAAAGTATAGTATGACTATCTTTTGAAGAAGAGAATTAGCATTGGAAAAGATAGTGCAAAAGAAAATTAGCATGCAAAATGTGTATCACTATATAATTTTCTGCTTCTCCTCTTCTTGTTCTTTTTTCCTCTTCTTTTATTGTCTTCTTTTTCCTCTTAGTTAAAATGTAAGTTACATCATATTATGTTTTATTGTCTTGTTATTTATTCATGTTTTTTATGAGCTTGCAAATAAATACTGAAAGTTTATTTGTAAATATCTTATGAGAAAACTTATATGTATTAAAATTGTGAACAACTCTCAAGATTTTATTGTTCATCTTGAATTTATGATATAAAACTGCCACAGGAATAACACTCATTCAACAAATGTGTAATTTACAATTTAATTAAAGTTCTGACAGCACCAAGTTATCAGCTAGAAATGTAATCTCAGTTAAGACAAAAACAATATTTACCTGAATTTATTTGAATGAATTCTTCAGGAGAAACTGTGAAAGCTAGTCAATATAAGAATTTCAAAAGTGAAAGACTCTAATGTCCCAAGAAGAAATCTTTTTACCAATCTTGCATAAGTAGAGAATAAATCATTAACAGTATTCATTAATATTAATGATTTCCATCATCATCACAGTTAATCTTGTTTTCTTTAAAGTACAAGTTCATGGAAAAAAGACAGGAAAAAGGAACCACTCCATTCTTATCTGGAATGGAATCAAAAGTTCATAAAAATTTGCAGTTGCTTCTGGGATAGGAAAGAGGAGTTGTGTTATTGAGAACCAATGACTGTTATGCCTGTATATTGCTTTAGTGTATTCTTCAAATTACTTAAATAATGTCTCATAGTATTCTAAATACACTTGATTCTAATAATCTTAAACTATATTCTTCTATGACTAGATTGTTAAAGTTAATTTTTGAAGAAATTGGCTCTGAGTTTTCTTTAAATTGCATAAGAAAAAATAAATACATGAACTCTGCAACTAACTTTTTCCCATTGTTTACCCTTTAAAATTACGTCCATGTTATTTTGAGAAAAGATGACTGGGAACAATATTTGTTATTAGTATTATCATCATCGATGAGGTGTAATAGAATCCCTGAAAGTCATGAGCACTCTGAAACCCAAAGCTTTAGAATGACTTCTTACTAGTACCTCTGAAGGTGCAGGGCATGTAGCCTTGTAGTAGACTGAGAATTTTATACATAATCATGTTTCATGATTTCACAGTGAGAAGCCTGATATCCGTGAAACTCATGATTTGGTTTTCTCTATAGAGCCTTGAAAATACAGGTATCTATTTGTTTTATTTATACATGATTTCATTCCTTAGTCCTGATTACAATATGAAAGAAGTAAATAATACATGTTTTTAACAAACAGATTAATCTATGTTTTTAAGAATTGTCTTCCTAGTAAAAATATCATGCCTTATTTAACTCAGGTTATAAAACATACAATATATCTATCATGATTGGTTTGAGAATTGAGAGATTTCTAATTTTTCCCAAAGATACTTGTAGTTTTCTCACCCTTAATTTTAATGTTATTCTGTTCCTATATATTTCTTTCTATATTTCCTTTCACTAAAAATATTTTTGCTCTTTTTTATATAGAGTTTCCAACAGTTGAGATTTCATTACTTAATTAAATTATTCAAAGGCAAATCTCTACCCAAAATTCTTTATAAATTATATATACATATTTTTATCTATCAAGATCTAGTATCAATAAAGCTAATTTTGAGACATGTTTATACACTGAAATAAACATTTGCAAAACCCAATTTTGTGAATTTAAATATTGGTACAAAGAGGAAAATTCTTCAAATGCTTATATTATGGTGAATGTATGAATAAATAGTATAAGATTTGGGGGAAATATGGAAATTTGAGGAAAAATGAGAGAGAGAGTGAGAGAGAGAGAAGGAGAGAGAGAAAATCTATTTTTTCCTTATCAGAGATCCTCCTAATTCCTTCAGAAACAGTGACAAGAAAAAGCAACATGGTCTCCCTGTATAATTGAATACTTGGAGTTCTATTTTCTCACAACAGAAGGAAAAACTCAACAGGGAAAAAAATCAAAGAAAACCCTCTTTAGGAAGATTTTGTTCCTGTGCAGATAATCCACAGTGCTCTATAGACATGTTGACCCTGAAAATTACATTAGAATGAAGGCCAGATAATGGTCTCTGTATTTGAATTGCAAATTTGTGCATGGTTGCCTGCATTTATTACTAAATTTCGCTTATAGAAGAGCAGATGGTTCCCTGTGCTCCAGATCAAATACTGTCAACTACTTATTTGATCACCTGCATTGGGGTTTTGATTTAAATAATTGAGCTTTTGCAGTCATGCGCTTCTGAAATCTGACCTGTTTCTTGCAGCTTTTCCAACTGCAGTAACCATCACTGGCTCTCTATCAAGGTCTATTTACACCAATGTTTTGAGTACTTAAACCAATACTTAAAATCCTTAGAAAAAGTTTTTACTTCTCCCAAGTGTAAACTTTTCAGTCTTCTGTTGAAATAATTAAATGGATGACACTGTACTTGATTTACAAACAATTAACCACAAGGAAAGGAAATGGATTCATTGATTTTTCTCATGCCTGCTTAAGATAGATGATTTGCAAAAAAGATTCAATCAGCCCTGCCTTTTTATTTTCCCCCTTTAAGAATGAAATGTTGGAGATTTTTCTGTGAGGAGGTGGAATTTGTTTCCTCACCCTTTAAATTTGTTTTAGCCTTAGGACTTGTTTTGAATTATAATATACAGCAATAAGAACATAGTGATAAAGCTGAGTCTAGCAGGCCTCCACCCACACTTGCTACTTTTCGCCTTTCACGACATAAGATTTCTGAGTTATCCCAAAGTCAGCAAGCATCTACGTGACCTACAGTTACCACCAGTCTCCTAGTAGACCTGCTGGAGATAAACAACATGGTGGAACAAGCCTGAATTTTCAATTCATAAACCCAAAAGCTAAGTAAAGGTTATTTTAACACATTGTGCTTTGATACTGTTCGATATATAACAATAGCTAACTGATAGAACTTGTATTTTATTTTCCACTAAGCTTTCTTTCCCACATAGCTTAGGAGTTTAAACAAACACAGTTTGGAAACCTAGACAGTATTTCCAGTCTGTTTACCATTGATGAATTTACTTAACTTCTGGGTGTCTATCTCTATTCGGTCAGTCAAAAGACATCTAATTAAATCCTAACTATACACACAGTCACTATGGAAGACACTGGAAATAAGGCAGTGACCATAAGAAAAGCAAACCACTTATAATACTTTTATGCTAGAAAAATAATAATATCCATATTTTAGAGTGTTATGAGAAGTAAATTAGGTGATGAATATGCAACACACAAGCACATGAGTGTCACTGGCACAAAACTTACTACTCCCTAGATTCTTTCAGAAGAAAAAGATACATTATCTTAGAAATTATGTCTGAAAACATTTTAAAAAATATTTTCATTCTTATATAGACCTAATCAGTCCAACAATTTTTCATGGCATGTATAATTTATTTTATGTATTATAAATAATCCAGAGATAGTTAAATCATACAGGAAAATATTATACCACAGGTTATATGAAAATCTTATACCACATTACGTGAGAGACTTGAGCACTGATGAATTTTAGTATCTAAATAGTGTTCTGGAGCAGGTGTGCCTTGAATATCAAAGATGACTGTCCTTAACCTCTTTAATTTTTGTTTCTAAAAAACAAAAACTGACCTCATAGTTCTAAAATCATTTGATTAGAATAGGTCATATCTCATCTTCAATTTATTTGCCTTAATATTACACATTGACAATGAGATCGTTGTAATCATTAATAGTTCTAATTAATGTTCTCAGAAATCAAATTAAAAGGATAAAACCTTGATAAAGTGATTCCCAATATATTTTTGCTCAAGGTGTCTGAATGCAAATGAAATCACCCAGTTTTTCTCGAGCTGTGGATGATCCTCAGAAAGCTGCTCCTGAGCCAATCCCCATGTGAATTTCACAGATTGCGTAGTTGAACTGAGAACATGATCGGAACATCCAGGAACTTCAGATCATTAGTCATTTCACAGGGGGAAGCAGATGGCTTCCCTAGAAGCGGGAGTTTTCACCTCCCACAGAATTTGGACACCATTATACAAGAAGGCCTGACTGTTTAGAGAAGCATGGGTAACTTTTATCCCAAATCTGAAGTTTGCCTTTGTCTTCACCTTTCTCTCATGGTATATGCATACATAAATAAAACATTTTCCATCTGCAGAAAGGTCTGCTAAAATAAAACTATTACATTATTCTGAATTTATCATCAGGGATCCTTTTCTGATAAGTGTGCAATGGGATACAAATAATTAAATATGCATTGTTGTCAGGGAATACTCTACAGAAATATAGTGTGTGCTCTATTACTATACTGTACAAAATAGCTTTGTTATCCTCAGCATTATTGATATTTGCAATTCAATAATTATTTCTTGTAAGGGACAGTCTGGTGCAATGTCGAATGCTTGCTGCAATACTGACTTCTCCAACAGATAATAGCAATAATACCCATCTCAACTGTGGCAATTAAATTTGCCTCTAGACATTCCCAAATATTCAATGAGTTAATAATTAATAATATACATATATAAGACTATCAGTAAGAAAAAGGACATATTTGTTATATTCAGTAAAGATCAACAGAGAAAGTAGATAGATGTAAGCCCACCTTCACTTTTATATAAGTATGACTTGGTATTTATTTCACAATTATTTCATCTGCTTCTGTAGGTAAGACAATGAGGAGATAAAAAATCTTCAGCATTTTTCTCCCTGTATGAACATGATGCATAATCTGAGTTATTCAGGAACAGAGAAAGGTAGGATCACAAGCCCAAGACTGTCATGGACAACTTAGAGAGACCCCGTCTCAATATAAAAGAATAGAAAAGGACTGAATATGTATGTAGCTCAGTATCAAGTCCTTAGATTCCTAATCTCCCAAACAAGTGTACAGCAAAGTATATATGGTATGGTGTGCTTTGGTATGATTTTAGGGCTCCAGGAGTGTCAAAACCTTTTAGCTGAGTTCAAGACTCTGAGGGCTAAGACTCAAAGACTTCTCTGCACTGCCCATATTTATTAGATTCAAAACAAAGGCAAGGAAACTGAAGAAAGCATGGGAAATGAGCAGGGTCTTGGGAGCCACTTCAAAGACTCCTCTAAGTAGTAAATTATGTCAATATAGAAGAACCATCTTATTTCCAGGATGACATTTATGACAGGAGTGCGACTGCCAGAGTGAGATTCCTTTAACTGCAGTCTCTAATTATTTAACTAGTTTTGGAGCCAAGGAGTCCTCAGCTGTGGCCTTATCTTGCCCTTTGAGGTATCTCTGATCTCACAGGCCACTATAGGCCTCAGCCAGGGCCAGTGATTCATTGAAGTTCACTTATTATGAATCAGCTCCCATCACCAGGAAAGGGGCTGAGCCCTAGGACAGACTCACAGATAAACGTAAAAGCCAATTAGTTTTAAGTGGCTCAGAGCCACTTCATAGTCATCTTCAACAGCTCAGCATTAAATTGTTTACCTAGCATGCATGAGTCTATGGATACAATCTCCATTAACATATACATACACATGTGGACACTCCCACAGTTGCACATACACAAGCAGATAAACGCAACCCTTACATATCACTATAATCTCATCCTGTTTTGGAGTAAAACACTATCAATCAAACAGTATAGAAAAAACAGTTGCTGAATTTTAAAAGTACCATGAGTTTGGGATCTTATAGTAATAGATATGATGTAAGGAAATGGATTACCTAATTTTAATTCTTATATTATTAATACATGATATTGGAAAATGTCTGTCACCTTTATTATTTGCAGCACTACTTTAATAATATGTCACCAATTTGATGGAATAAATAACAGAAATGTGTTTACTCTCAGTAGATGATCGAGAACAAGGTATTGGCAGAGTTGTTTTCCTCTGAGTCTCTCTTCTGGGTTTGTAGATGGCCATCTTTTCCCTTTGTCTTCATATTGCCTTTCACTGTGTCTCTGCTATAATATCCTTTTCTTATTAAGACATCAGTCATTCGTATTATCTTAGTGACCTCACTGTAATTAATTTCTGGGCTAACAATCCTATCTCCAAATATAGTTATATTCTGAGATGAAGAGATATAGAACTTCAACATATGAATTTGGGAGGTACTCTAGTTTGGTTGATAATGTTACTGGTCCAAGTCTTCATTTCCTTGCCTGTAACATGAAGAAACATAATACATACTTCACAGTAAATTACCATATAGACTGATAGGTAATTAATCAATTTATTACTTGCTTATCCATCTATCTAGTTTTATTAAATGAACCAGTGTCCAAAACATAACAAGTGTATAGCAAAGTAACTATTATAATTGTTATAATTTTACTTTATTCTCAGTTAAGAAACAATGATGAATTAGCTCAGTGGCATAAGTGCCTGCCTTGCAAGCACATGGTCATGAGTTAAATCCCCAGTACCAAAAAAAAAAAAAAAAAAAAAAAAAAAATGATGAGCAAAAGCACTTGTCTTCAACAATGGATGAAACTGGAAAAAAAGATGATAGAGGGAAAGGAGATGCAGATAAAGAGTGATATAGGAGAAAACATAACTCCTAAACTGTTAGATGTCAAATGTACAGAGTTTGTGTTCCCTGAAATCAGTTTCAAAGAACAAGGTGGTTAAAAGTAGGAAAGGGTTATTGGGGAATAAGAATAGCTACTAACAGATGAGTGGGGAGCTAGGGTTGCCATGGAAGCCCTGTGTCTGGGGTAATTTACATAGCAAAGTCACAATGTGGTTGCATGTGTGTCAAACTGCAATCACCTATAAGATTACAAATATAGCTGCCTAGTTAATATTGATCCAATAGGAAAACAGGTCACAAAGCAAGGGTACATGGTGGGAAAAAAAGGTATTTGGGGGAGGGATAGATCCAAAGGTTCTGGTAACATGGGTGACAGATATCTGTCTGAACCTTTTTAAGCAGATGATACTTATAGTATAATTCCAAGTACTACTTATCCATTAGGGAAGGTATGTGGGTCGCTGCATACTTATTTATCTATTGATTTTATTATTTTATTTTTTGTCTTTTTGAGACATTATGGAGTTCAGATTGGCCTTGAACTCACTTTGTACCCCAGACTGGCCTTGAATTCATAGTGGTCCTCCAGTCTTGGCCTCCCTGATTGGTCTTCTTCAGATGTGTCACCAGCCACAATTCTGATGTCTTTATTTTTTTACTGCTGACTTTCTTGAGAACCTAGCCCCTCTCGGACTGTTAATTAATTTCTATCTAATTTAGATGCCTCTAATAAGGAGTTTTCAATCTCAGGAGGACAAAAATAAAAGCAGAGGTATGTAATGCCAGTGACTAACATTTTCTTGACTCTACTATTAATTTTTTTTTTTTATTTACCAAGAGTTCTTAAGAGAATTCCTAGTCTCAATTGGTAGTTGATTGCATAAAAATTCTTCTTATACATAAAGAGTTTTTAGGCCATTTTCTTGTATGTCTAGTCCTAGGAAATGGAGCCATGGTAACTTTGCATTTCACTGTAATATGGCAAGAACCATTAACTGAATATGTGAGCAAACAAGACCGTACATGATAGAAGCGTACTTCTTGGGGAATTTTCTGTTCTTCAGAAGGAGTCAAATGTTTCTCTGATCCTCAGTGACTCCGAACATAGAAATGTCAGAAGTGGAGATAAGTAGGCAAGGCAGGAGGAAGCATTCACTCTGGGGAGAGAATAAGATGCGCTGTTGCACACAGAATTTGTGCTGTTGGAACTCAATCCTTGCCCCAATCTCAAAGAAACTGAAATTATGTAGCTGCTGAAAAGCTGCAGGAATGTCAGTCTGCTTCTCACTCTTGGCCTCTTTGTTGATTGTTAGGAAAGATGAAAAAGAGAAACAGGTAAGGGCCCGACAGGACAGGTTTATTGCATAACAAACCCGAGAGGGACTGCTCAAGGTCTAGAGACCTGACCAGCTGCTCTCCCTTGGGCAACAGGGTCTTTTGCAGGGTAACAGATAGGAAGGAGTTCAGTGGAAGCACTTTGGGGCTATTTTCCAGGAGCAAGGCTTGAGAGGACACAAGCAATAATGGTTGTCTAAGGACAAGGCTTGGGGAACTGTGAGCACTGTCAATAAGAGGGCTAGTCCTGTTAGGAGCTCCGGGTGCAGCTGTGCTGGGAGGGAGCCTTTGGGGGGTCTCTAATGAGCAAGGCAGTGGTGTGGCATTGCTGGCAGTAGGGTGGCATAAAAATATTTACGTAAGGAAGTCTTTAGTAGTTGATTGTATATAACCCTGACATTTCATGTTTTCATACCAATAACACATATTCTGTACTTGACAAATTTAATACTAAATGAAATGAAAATATGTAAATCAATGTCTGGAATTCATACCAACAGAAATTTTATGTTTGTGTGTTAATAGCTTGTTCATTAGTTCTTAGAATGCAAGGCATATTTTTATGGATTAAAAATCAAATTTCACAGTGACATTTCACAACTAGAGGGCAAGAAATATTATTTGCTCTACTACACCAAAAGCACCTTGAAATTCAGATTTTTTTTAAGTCACATTTTGTTGTCCCCCAAACTTCTGTGCTTCTGTAATGTCGGTTGATGTCGATTGCATTAATGAAAAATCTATGTAAGAATCCTTCAATCGAGACAAGTCTAATTTTGAATTGCAATCATTAACTGGGTATACTTTTGTTAACTTCCCTGATTTTAATTTACGTTTTTTTTTTCTACAGAAAAAGAATATAATATTTGGTTTTAAATTTTATAGTTTTTTAAAATATTCAATAAATTAGTTAGTTAAGAGTATCTGGTAAAACATGTTCAAGATTTAAAAAAAAAAACATATTCAACGTAGGCACAAGATATGTGTTTCCCCCAACTTAACCTCATCAGAGAAATATAAATCGCTGTCTAAGGACATGTAGGAATAGAATGAAATGCATTTTCACATAAACAAGTCTCTGATAATTTATTATAACTTAAGGACAAGTTTTTTTATGGAAATACATTTCAAATTATAATTTGACTTCGTATAGCCCAAGAACACTAAACACATCATAAACCACAAAAACAAATACTTACAAAGACAGATGCACAAAGCATTTTCATCAGGACTGCATTTCCCCCAGGGAACCCACCTAACCTGGGAAGGTTTTTATTCATTTATAAAATAATATAAAATATGTGAATTTTCTCCTGAAGGTATCAGAGAAAACATTTCCAAAATGCCTCACTGGAAGAAATAGAATCTTGTCCTTTGGTGTTTTCTGTGTACATATTATATGGTGATAAAGCCAGGTTAGCAGAGACACAGACACACTGTGTGAAATACAAAGAACTCTGAGTACCATAAAGTAAGTCTCAAAATAACTGCAACAAACCAATTCTAAGTTTCATTCCATCGTTCCTCAGGATTCCCTTGCATTTCTTCATTCCTTGATAATTCATCCACTTTCCCATCCACTGCATGAGCGTCTGACTGCTATAATAACTATCGCTATACCAAAATGAACTAAAATTCAATTTATTTTGCTTACCTATCTGGATGTCTTTTCTATTATATACTTAAAAATTCTCTTTTCATGACACAGCATGATCCATTTTCATTGCCGTTCTTTCTCCTGTTTTAAATAACAGTTTAATAATGTCTGCTAGATTTTGGAAAATCTCTCGGATCACTCTCTTGGCCATCTTTCCCTCATGTCTACAATTTAGTAACTGAACATTGGCATGGTAACCATTTCTATGTTAATTTCACTGTCTATATTCTTATTATTTGACAACCAGAAGTGATTACAATTATACTTTATATTTGCACAGCACAGAAAATTAGACTCAAAGTCAAGCAAATTGTTATCAAATGCACAGTGGATAAGAGAAGGAGTGCCTGAGTCTAATGCGGCCAATTCTGCAGTTTCTAGTACAGTAGAGGAATAAAAAGAATAAAGTGAAGGCAGAAGACTAGAACATATAACTGGATTCAAAAACTTAACTTTTGGCAGATGATGATGTTGGGTTCTGTTGAGAATGATGAAGAAAAAAATTCCTTTAAATCCCCATTGTTTAAAATCTGTATTAAAGCTGCATGGCCACAGCAATCTTCCTTTTAATTTACATTTATTTAGGGCCATCTCAAAGGACTTTGAAGTGAAAATAAATTCTCTAAAATTAAGCTGAGACAGGATATTGAAATATAAATGAAGACACATTGGAAAAGAAATGGAAGCACAAAATTGATTTGTGCAGCTCAGACTTTGAGTTGCCTTCTTTAATTGTTCTGTCTATTCTTGTTTTTCATGGTATGCCCTGCGCAGAAAGCTTTTCAGAATCTGCCATTTACAGAGATGGCACTTTTAGTAGATATCTGTTCATTTCAGAGTAATGTGTGTTCAAAAAGCAAACCTCGAGGAAAAAAATTCTAAAAGTATGAACAAAAATAATGAAGACAACTCATCCTGATGGAGAGCTAATGAGACAAGACTATTCAATATCAGGATAAGGAATCAAAATGAAGGCTGTCGATGGCTTTCTTTGACTTTTTGTGTGAGGAATCAAGTCCCACACAGGTAAAGGAAGCCTTAGGTGAAAAGAGACCCTAACAAATAAGAATTGAAAAATGTGAGAGCAGAATGATGGAGCCATTTACCAGGCTGGCCAGGTAAATTCTGTAGAAATTGCAAGTGTAAGCATGCTGCTTCAAAGTTACATTTGTCTACTAGAATACCACCGCAACATGCAACTGAAGCCTTCAGCATTTTTGCTGGCATATTTTATCATGAACACATTGTCCATCCCTCTTGACTCAGCTCAAACATACTTTTATACTTCACGTGGAAGAAACATTGGTCAGCAAATTTCCTAAGTAAATATTTTTTTTATTTTTTATGATTTTTCACATGCTCTTGTCTTTCTTCAATTTATGATCCTCTGTCTCTGTCTCTGTCTGTCTGTCTCCATCTCTCTCTCTTTCAAAGTTACACAATATTGCTCTATTTTCCCTGTATACTGAACCCTTCCTCAGATGCCTTCAGTTAGATTTGAGGACAGTTATGCAATACTAAGGCACTGCGTATTAGTTTCCAAAATAGCACAGATGGTGTTAGACTTCATCTGAGTGAAATGGGGCTGTACTTTATATCCATAATTTTTATACCATAGAAAATTTTGTATTCTCTTTGAAAGACGTTCCTGCTTGTATGTTCATCAAGTCAGTTTACTGCTAACCATCACTGGTACATTAAATCTCTCTTTTTCCTGTAACGAACATCACTAATCTACCCTGCATACTTCTATTGTATAGGTGCTTTGATTCTTTCAAGATTTAGACCTCAAGACAGGATTATCATTCCATCATAAATTATCTGCTAGTGAAAGCTAAACCATTATTTTTAAATAACTAACATATTCAATACGTTTTATGTTATATTTAAAACAGGTCATAGTTAGTCTAGAATACTGTTGATCATTCTGTCATCTAATCAAAATTTAATCAACAAATATTACCTGCAGCTCTTTTTGACATGTCTTTTTCTTGTGCAAAGCATACTGAAACTTTAAAAAGTTGTTCTTTAAGCACACCCTCCATCAGCTGCAACGTGGAAACTTGCAAATATTTGAAAACTTTAAATTGACTAGTTACTAGCAACATAAAATTTTCCAAAAACAGTGGAAAGGCCATAATATTTTCAGAACACAAAGAATTCAATTCAATGGCCAACTTCTTCACTCAGGAAATATATGTGTGCCTTTAAAATCTTAGTATACTCCTAAGCATTGATCAAAATTCTTGTGAAGACTTTGCTTATAAATAAAAATGTTTCCCGTGAGGCCTGTATATGAATCCATAAGAAAGATTCCTCTTCTTATGGTCAGTCTTAATGAGGTATTGCAATGTCTTCTCTCCACATGTCTTTTGCTGTTTCCACTCTGGGGGAGGTTTTGTACATCAGTCCAGGCCTGTCCTAGTTTATGGTGGATAATATCCACCAAATAGCTAAGAAATTCATCTGTGCTCAAATAATGACCACCAATAAAAGCCCTTCAGAGAACTGATTTGCACTATAATGTAGGTCCATTGCTTGTACTAATCAGTGAACCAATGATTCTTGTAATTCCCTCTGGTGCTTTTAAGGCAGGGAAAAAAAGATTACATTCAGTACAGATGAGGTGCAAAATATCCTGGATGCTATAGCTATGTCTTGCCCAAAATGAAGAGCCACGTATTTTTTCTTTAAAAAGCCTGATAGTATTTTTAAAAATCTGACTTAATAACATTTCTTATATCTGTTGAATAATATTATTAGATAATTATTCAACCTGGCTTGCTTATTTTTAAACTAAAACACTATGCATAATAATTTTATAAGTAATAATGGCATAGAGTTAATTATACATTTTTGAAAATTTAAGCTATTGAATTACATATGTGCCTAAGGAGCTTCAATGTGGTTTTTGAAGTTATTCAGAGATTTAATTCTTATGATTATTTTTTCCAGGCATGGGTTCTCTAATACTGCTTTGTTATGCAGTAGTTAGAATGCACATTCTTTTCCTTAGAAGGATATATAGCTACTGGATGGTTATACAAAGATACACAACTCAAAATGTAATGTAAGTGTGTTCTTTATTCCTCTCATTGGATCCTCAGTGGAACCACTTACACTGCAACTCCAAAGAACTTTATGGATTCTCTGGTGCCAGAACTGCCTCTCCTATATCTTATCAGTCTTCCTGTTCCATCTCCAATCTGCCTTTGTGTTCTCCTCTCTTTACTGCCTTGGGTTTTATTTTAGGTCAGTTAGAATTGAGGCTGCATTTGTACTTAGTGAACCTGAAATAACTCCACATTTTCCTGATTCCTCTGTAATTACTTCTTTGTAAGAAAAGTAATTTATTTTGCTAACATTAGGCACTTCACATGACATTAACCTGGTACACACATTACTATAATTCAAGATGGGTATGATTCCAAAATTGTGATAGAAAACTATACTAGGGATAAATCCCTCAGACAAGGATAAAAAACTCAACCAAGAAGTTTAATAATATTGATGATTTTTGGTATATTTATGTTAAAAATGCCTAAAAATGATCGTTTACTTCTAACATCAAACTTAGTATATTAATCTATGATTAAAATGTTGTTAATAATATAGCAATACTTAAAGTTACCAAGGTAACTTAATATATTAGTTGCTAAAACTGTCAATTTATAAGTAGCTGGTACTTAATGGGCATCTCCTAAGCCTTCTAGCACATAAATAATTATGACTAAATATCAAAACTTGAGCGTAAAGAGTAAACACTGATTCAGAGCACCCTTGCCTAGATTTTCCCTCCCCATTCATGAGATTTTTTTTTCCCCTCAGTAGTCAAGAGAGAAAAAAAAAAAGGTAGATATTTGCAAACTTGGCCAGGGAAGTTTGAAGCAATAATTTTTCTGCGACACAATATGGTCACATATGATTAGGTATTAAAAACTGGTGGTCAGCTTAACACCAGCTGAGCAAAGATGTTCCACCTGAGGCAAGCTTCCAGCAAAAACAGAGATGTGGAGAAGCAGAGGTAGGGAGAAGAAGTTATGGGTTCTCCTACGTGTTGTTGTTTGAGACGTTGGTTCTCCAGAAGGACCTGCACACGACCAGCTTCTCCAGCGTGAGTTCAACCATTATTATGGAGGAGCTCGTGACTTTGTTGGTGAGAGTGGCTGTGGTTCACTTTGGGGGAGCTCTGGTCCCTACATCAAACATTGCTTCCTGGCTCTGGAGGGGAAGACGTGTGCTGTTTAATCTCAGCAGAAACTAGTTATGTTGGCTTTCTGGCATCTACTCTACTGTTCTCATCTGAGGAGCTTGAGACCTCCGTATCTCTGAGGGTGACTGTGGTACTTTTCAGGGCAGCCCTCAACCTACCAGCACAGCTCCTTAACCCTGCTGGCATAGACTTTCTATCTTCCTCTGCTCACCCTCAGACCTTCACAGAACAGATCCATAAAAGAGACTGGCATGAATCCTTCTTGTGGGCTGTAGACTTCCAGTTGGACTTGTGGGAGGCATTGTCATGGGCTCTAGGTCTTCATCTAGACTCCTGCAGGATATTGCTGTGGGACCCAGACACTTAGCTAATTATTCTGTCTTTAGTGTTGTTAACTTTTTTATGTTAACTCTCGATAAACAGCATAAAATAATATTATAAATTCTGTGTCCTGATTCTAATTGTTCTCCTCTCAACTGCTGACCACAGCAAGAGACACAGTGTTTCAATTTAGTTCAACAGAGTTGTTAAGTGAAGTCATCCAAGTGCTGAATTCAGTTAATATAATAACTTTACAAGATTCTTATTAGAAAAAGGCATAAATAAATCATTGATGAACCATTTACTAAGTACAGAGATATCTCCCTTTTTAATGGGGAAGAGAATAGAGAAAGTCATACACTTTGTCTACCTGTGTAAGAGAGACTATCTTAAAAATACCGTAACAAATTCATTCTTAGTTTTAAAAGTCTGTGTATAAGTCTTCTGGGTATTAATAGTAGTAGAAAGTGAGGGCATTTTCTATTTAATGACAATGGCAAGAACAGATTCCATGGTAAAAATATGAGACACATAAACTTGTGTTCTGAGGATTCTAAGTTGCTTGAAAATGAAGAATCACATGCATAGTATGCAGAGCACTAGGAAATGTATTAAACAATAAAAAGATGGCAACAAAAGAAAGAAGTTGAAAATTAGGTGTCTTAGCAATATGAACACTTGCATTTCTTCGTTAGATTTTTATTTCAGTGCTGAGTAGTATTTGCCAAAGTAACAACTGATAAAAGGAATTCTCCATGGGGAGATAAAATAATGGGAGTGCTCTGATTAGTGTTTGGTGCAGATGGCTACATCTCCCTTTGAAAACCCCATTGACTCCCTCCCACTCTGATATGCAAAAACTTCCACTGCCTCAGGGGTATTGCTTCAAATCTACTAGGTTCTGCCAGGCACAGTTTTAGACAAAATCTGTGGAGCAAAACCACATTCAGAAGCGGAATGTGGATACTAAAGGGTGAAACTGGAAGGTTCTGAATGCAGTTATTTTATGAAAGAAACAGTAGGAATATTAATGGTTATTTAAATAAAATCAGTAGTGTAAGGAATAGAAAGAATATGCATGGGATTTGTGCATTTTGTCTTCTTTTGGGAGAAATTTACACAGTGGTGGACAATAACTGAATGGAAGAATCTACATTACTTTTGAGATTTTGGGCTGAGGCACAAGTAGTTCTGTTCAGATATTTGCTTGCTCTAAGAGAGAGGCATTTTTGTTATTTTTTCAACACAAAATTAAAAATTCTCTTTTCTAAATGCATGCAAATTTGCATATCAATGCATTTTATTCTATTTTCTTGGGATACATAAGGTTCCTTCTTATTGAGCAGGCACAGTTTTTTACCACAGACACTGAAGCATGTGCCAGGAAGCATTTGCGCTTTTAATGTTCTTTCAGTGGAAATATACTTAGTCATAATTAAATTCAGTTGAATGGCTTTTAAAAGAAGTTAGTTGTTAATATGATTGGCAGTTTCCTGTGCCTTTGACAACATCTAATGAAAAATGCCTGGGTGGTGCACAACACAGACAAATGAGGGGGTTTATCTTCTATGATCTCTAGCTAATGTAGTGTGATTATGCCGAATCCTGTATTTTCAGAAGGCGTGTTATTACTTCCCATTATCTAAATAAGAATGATAAATGTTCGTGATTTTCACCAAATATAAACAAAGCTTCAAGTTAGTGCATGAATACTTATTTACTTTAAAATGAATACTGATTTGTAGGGGCAAATATACTGAAAGAAAAGTCTCTTATTTTTCTTTAAAAGAAATATTAGATCATTGTGTATTAGAAGTTTCAAATTTATGGAGATAAGCAAGGAGAATGAGAAAGAAATCAATTTTGAGTCAACATCTAGTGTTTGCTTGCTACTGCTAGATAACTGCCTATGTGTTTGGTGATTGTTATCTTTCTGGTTTTCTTCTGGTAAGTGGTCTGAGGATCTGGGAATAACTTGTTTTCTATTGGTCATCAAAGAAAATACAAATATGTGAATATTTTTAAATAAACTTGACACAAGTTTACAAATGATTCTCTGTTGTTAACAGGATTATTAGTGAATTAGAAATATTGGTTTAAAATATTATTGTAAATAGCTTTTTTATATTCTCTACAGTTTTGATCACTTTTGCTCTAACTCATCTAATATTTCTTTCTGAAATCCAAATTTCCATGTTTTTGCCTTCTTTTCTTTTCTCTGCTGATCTCAGTTTACACAGTCAGGACAGGTTGCCTGCTGATCTGTGGCAAGAAAGTTGATGAAGAAATTCTTGAAACTAAAAACAAAGCTCTCCAACATGATGGGTTAAAATAAGGGGCAGTCATCAATTATGGAAATTGTGTCATGGCTACTCATATAACATGAACATAAATCCTGACCCAGCTTTTTTGTATGCTTTATTCTAACTAGGGCTTAGATAAGACAGGATTTGGAGGACAAGGTCAAGTGGCTATGTTTCTCTTGTCATAATGAACACTAACATAGATAATGATTTATTCACCCATTGTAAACAGTCATTTAGCAAAACAAAATCTAGTCCAAAATACCTAAAGTCTTCTCTATGGGTGACCCTCTTTTACTGCTGGGACAAAATATCTAACATCCACAACTTGAAGGAGGAAGCGTTTATTCTGGCTCACAGTTTACATCATGGTCAGCTAGTTCCCAGGCATAAATGGCATGGGGAGGACTGGATATAGGCCAACTGCTTATCTCAGGGCAACCAGGAAGTGGGAATAGAAAGGAGGAGCTGGGGAAAACGATGCACCATTCCAAGACATATTGCAGTCACCTGCTTTGTCTGACCAGGTCACACCTCCAACAGTACCTTCAACATCCACATGATTAGCTCTGAAAGATACACTTTGATGCTGGAGATTTACCTCAATGTCTTAACTGTCAGACTGGCAAGCACTGGGTCATGAGTTTGACCCCTTTACAAAAACAAGACAAAACAAAAATTCATACTTATGAAAGTCCCATTTTAGAATGCATGAGGTTTTGGGGGAGTCATATTAGGTTTAAACTATAATGGATAACTGCATCCAAAAATGTCATTAGAGCCATGAGGTAGGAATCTTATTACCTCTGTTTCAATGTTTCATTCCCAAAGCAGGAATTTTCATATCAAAGAAAAATGTGAATTCTTGAGTGAGACCTAGTTTCTAGCTACATGATTTTCTGCAAATTTTCTTCCTAAATTTTCTGATTGCCTTGTTACCGTGTGTGTGTGTGTGTGTGTGTGTGTGTGTGTGTGTGTGTGAAATAGAGATGGTATTGAATATATACAATATTTCTGGATGGCTTTTATGAAGTTTAAACGGCAATATTATTCAAAATTTTAGAAGACTACTTGTTACAAATATGAAAGTATTTTTACTTCTGTTTTTCATTTCAATTACTCAGTATAAAGATTGTCCTCAGTATTCTGCAGAACATGGGTTATATAGAGCACCATACGAATATTTTTATAATTATTTATGATAATTGTATTCATGTAATTTAGTTATTTGATCTTAGCCCCCTATTATTGGGGTCATGACTATTTTTGGTATTTTTGTCTCATATATGTAGCAAATTTGTTACATGATAGCAAATGTCTAAAAAAGATTGTCATATTGGTATCAATAAACAAATTGCATAATAAGTCATGGAAGACACAGAATAAGAGACAGAAGAAAAAACTGGAAGGCAATGAAAATGAAGTTAAAAGACCACAGAAATGTCAATCAACAATAAATATGTTTTAAATTATTGGGTCTGATGAGAATGAGCATTTCAGAGACTTACATTCTAGCTTCAGGTTAGATTGGTAATAATTTTATGATAAGACAAATCTCCTACCATCTAAAACTCTATTCTGACCTCTGAAAGTACAGAGATTTAGCTTTGACTTTTGAGAATCAAGTAACAAAGTAGGTATAAATATTCTTTGTAAATTGTCAAATGAATAAAATCATTTTTGTTTCACTATTTCAATTTAATCAAGATACTAAAACTTTGTCAAGTTGAAGTTGAAGACACAAAGTCAGAGGGACAGTTTGGGACAATTTTTGTGTGTAACATTTTGTAGTTTTTAACTTATTACTACTAGCAGACTGAAATTCATCTCATGGAATGCCATTCAATAGAATGCATCATTTAAAAGTGACAGTTCAACAAATTTAGGAATATGTAGTGTTCAGCTATGAAATTTTGATTTATTAACACTATGTCTTCATTTTTATTTCTTTAATGGGGAATCTTTGCCTCAGTCAGGGAAACAAATGAAAACAAAAAGAATAGATAATTTTTCATTTTTTTGCCTTCCAATTTTGGCATTGGATAAACAAAATGGAATACCATAAGTGTAGTAATGAAGGAGTTTATTACATTATGCATTATCTTGGTAAGAAGAACCTGATTTTGTCTTTCTTATCATTTTTAACAGAGACTTAAAGAAAGCTCTGTTTACAGTGGCCATTATCTTGAAGGGAATAGCAAAGTAGATAAGAGAAAGACAGTGGAGAAGACACATAAATAAAGTAATGAGCAGAGCTACTGATAGGCAGAGATTCTAAAGACCTAGAAGTTGTGCATGTGGTCCTGACTCCATAATTCAGATGCCCTCTGAGGGGAGGAGCACAGCCAGCACATCTCCTGAGGTGAGATCCTTACCTTCAGGAGCAGCCTATCTTAGTCTCCTGTGCTGCAATTGGGGAACAATCCTGCAGCAGTGACATCATGGTTTTCTTCAGGTTTTGTGTGTGCATCAAAACAGAAGCAAGTCATATGCCTACTGGCCCATACAAGCACACCCCTGCTTATGTTTTAAGGCACTCATAAAACACTGTGCTCCAAATAGGATGTTTTATATCACATGGCAGTAGCAGGATCAAATAAGATCCTTAATTTTGATCCAAAAGTCCCAACTATAATTCTATGTAGGATGCACTGAACATATGAGAAGATTCAATCTTTGTAAATATTGTTAAATATGATTTCAGCCATTTGAATACAATCTAAAGGCAAAGAATACATTTAAGAGGGTAGTGATTTCCAAATGCATTTACTTTCAGTGCAATTAATGCAAGAAGTGACTTAATGGAAATGCTTTAACTCAAGTTACACAATTACAAAGATATATTTCCATCTGCATCTATAGTGATCAGCTCTTCACACTAATAGGCAATACTATATGTGATGTCTCACTACTGTCATTTCCATCTCTCATCCCAGTTCCTTTATTTTTTAAATCTTTAATGGAACTGCCTCCTCCTCTTCCTCTTTCTCAACTATCACATGCCATAGTTTTGCAATGATGACTGCTCCATTACCCAGAAGTTGTAATGCTGAAAAAAATGTCTCCTCAAATCAGATCTTTCAAATGAAGAGGTCATGACTTAGCGATGGAATTCAAGATTCCACATCTGTTTTCCATAGTCCACAAACTTAACTGGAAAATAAAAAACCCTCAGTGCTACTAACACATTTCTTTTACAGTAATTGCAGATAGGAGAAATAGGCCCATGGATATAGCTCAGTGTCACAAGTGCCTGCCTGGCAATTGCGAGGTTGTGAGTTTGATCTTGGAGCAAAAATAAATTAATAAATAAAAATTTAGGAAAATTAATTAATTAAAATGATTATTTTCTGCAGCTGTACATACAGAATGCCTCTCTTTTTGAAAAAAAATTGGAGAAATTATGCTTTTGGAAATGAATAAAAAATTAAAACAGGAAAATGACATACCTGAAATATTGTTTCATGCTATTTTGTGTGAATAAATACAAGAAAAAACAAAACTCCACTATAACGGAATTCCATTATAACGGAATTATATTTCCGTTATAACGGAATTCCATTCCGTTCCAATTCCATTATAACGGAATTATATTTCAGGAAATATAAGTTAAGGCAAGTCTTTGGTATTAATAAATGACTTTATAGAGAAGGTTTAGACCTGAATTTTTAGGACAAACAATGTCATTCTAGAGACATCTGGCACATTTACATAGTGAATTTGAGATAAGAATTAAGATTCTTTTATCTTGGATACAGGTGACTTTTCCATGTCATTTCATCTTCTGATAGCATGTCAGTCACTCAAAATATCAGAGCCATTTCAATTAAGGATTGAAAATTAGAAATTCTATTTAAAAATTATACACTTTACTATTATTCTAATATGTGATCATATGTAAAATCATATGTGCTTACAATGTTTTCTAGCTTATCCATTCAGAGATTAAATTTATTTTCTCCTGCTTCAAACTTGAGCTGATCTTACAATTTGTTTATACCTACATAATGTGATAATAATGATACTGGTTCATTTGGGTATGGTGCACTGACCTATAATCTCAAATCTTATGAAACTGAGATAAGAGGATTTGAGCTCTAGGCCAGTCTAACTGTATAATGATATCTTGTCTCAAAAACAAATGCAGTGCCTTTCCTGTGAGCATGTAGCAGCTGTGCAGGGCTGGGAAGGGAAACAAGCAGATAGTTCACCCTTCTCATGAGCCAACTGGCACAGGGGCTGGGAGAGAAGAGGATAGCCACTCTTATCCCCTTAAGGAACCAGCCGATTCAGAGGATCACAGACTGAGTGGATAGCAACTGAGGTACAAAAATAACTTAATTCTTGCATTGTGTGATTGACTTTGAAGGCCTGATGTTGGTAGTCTGAGCATCTATGTAGAGGATAACAATACGCAGTATAACAACTAAGGAAAATTTTCTTCTTGTTTTTGAAAATCCAATATTTTTTCTCATTGCTTTGTTTTGTTCCATTTTATTGTTTTCTTGCTTTCTTCAATGTTCTGTTTTGATTTGCTTTATTCTGTTCTGTTTTGTTTGATTTTGTTACGTCTGATGGTATGTGCAGCAATTTTTAAGATAAGAGGAATTATGGTAACCATTGTTGACTTCCTATTATCATATTTTGAAGTTCTGTGTCATTTTCACTGTTTTGCTTTTATTGTTTTACTTTGTTTGATTTTATTCTCTTTAAAATAAAATTTTAAAAAATCAACAAATATAAGATATTGTTTGATTTTCATATAAAGATTATACTTGGAGCTATGACTTTTTCTCGTTAAACCATGATTATCAAGCTCTGAATAGGACTGAGATGAAAGATCATGTGGAGAGGCAGGCCTAGTAATCCCAGCCATTGTGGCGATCCTGGCTGAGACCCCCAGGGCCACCAGAGAGTCCATTCCAGTCCTCCTTCAGCCAAGCCATCAACTGGTTGAATTTGTCTGAGCAAACTCAGATGATTCCAAGTGAACTGTCCATTCAACTTGTATAATGATGAAAGAAACATAAACTGTTGCTGTTTTAACCCATTTCTCATTTAGAAGGATTTTTCACAGCAACATTTAAATCAAAATTATTTTCAAAATTAATCTCATTAATAAGCAAAATATACTGAAACACAGAAAATATAGGAATGGATTATGAAAAGACATTCTATAGATACAATATTGACATTCACTAGTTTCATAAGCCATTTTCTTATAGATTAGAAAAGAGATATGCATGCCATTGAAATGCAGTTTGAAGAAGATTTTGACAGAAAGGTTCAATGAAAAAGAAAATATAGAATTACACAGAGCATGCATATTCATATGCTTGCCACAACATAAATGTATAGCTAGCTATTTTCTAACTTATTTAAATATAGGATGTTTTGACAGATGTGACAGACATGTAGACAAATTACATATATATATATATATATATATATATATATATATATATATATATCAGGTTTTTTTTAAAGGCAGTGTGATATATGCCTATTTGGTGCATTTCATTATTTTTTTAGTTACAGCTTACCCAAAGAACAACTACATCTCATTTTTAAAATAGGCAAACCATTTTGCTTACTTGTTAACCTCTGACAGTGCAAAGTAAAACGATTCATTAAATACATAGTCTATGATTATTTATGAGATGCTAACTAGATACATGATGTGCTAATTATTAAGAAAATGCACATTTGGAACATCTCCAGGTGCCTCTCTAATTCTTCTTTTTCCCCCAGGTGTAGTTGCTCTCCTCTGAAGGAACATTAGGGCATTAGACCATCTCTGCACTGCAGTAAAAGAAATTCAAAAATAAAGCTAAAAACTGTTACATGTTTTAGTTTTATAATAGTAATAAAAATAAGGAAATGAGCCAGGGGTTTAGCTCAGCATTGCAAGTGCCTAACTGATAAGCGTGAGGTCATCAGTTAGATCCCCAGTAGCAAAAAAAAAAGACAAGAAAATTAACGTATAATAATTTTTGATGCAATGACTCCCACTATGCATAACATGACATCGATATACAGAGACAGAAGAAAAAGCTTAGCAGAAAGACAGGAAGGTATTATGTCAAAATAGTATTTCAAACAGAACAATTAATTTCTTAAAATATCATCTTTCTCTTTTTTGTTACATTTCAAAATTTTAAATAGAAATAGACATTTTTAATTTATAAGAATTTATTTCATGAGTCAAGAAAATTGTACTTAAGTTGCTTAAAAGTTTTGCACAAAAATATGCAATTTATTATGGATGTTAGCAACAATACAAATTCTTTCATTGATTATTTGTAATGCACATGAGACATAGGTGAAGTATTTATCATCTCATATGGGTATCTAAATCCTATCAGTTTGGTAAAATATCACTTCGTGGTCAGTTCACCCACATCTACCCTTGATCTCCTCCAACCATTTCCATGACTGATACTTCTAAAACAAACTTCTGATCATGCATTCTTTGTCCTTATTTAAAATGCTTGATTACTTCTCATTATTTTAAGAATAAAGGCAAGAATTTTTGAATGTATCCTCTAGGGTTATATTAGGTCTGTTTTCTGCATGGCTCCTGAGCCTTAACTTTTATGGTGTGCTCCTTGATTTCTGAATTCTACCCTTATCGCCTCCTTCATTTCTGCAGACATTGCAGTGTTCCATGATACGCCTCCAACTTTTTCCCTCCAACTGGAATTGTCTTCATTTGACTTTGTCTAGCAAATACTTATTCATATTTCCAAACTGAAGTTTTTACTTTCCAAAATCAACCACCTTCGAATTTTCTAACCTTCTAAAATTCATGTTACAGACACTTATAACCCTTGTAGACTTTATTTTTCTGACCTTTATTTGTCAGTTTTCCATAGCAACATTGAGAGCAAGATGTAGCTGTGTCTCACAGACTTGTCGCCTGCACTCATGGGCAGGCTTCACTGTTCTCAGCATCTGTATTTCAGGTACGTGGAGTACAATTCCTAAACCCACACTGATAAAGGCATTATCACCCAAGTCTGTATTTTGTATTAAAGTATATTTTTAATATGCATTCTATGAAGTTAGGAAAACATCAATGTCACATGGTCAGCACTTTAATATTTTACAGAGTGATACTATATAGTATGCTTTGCTTCAAAAATCTTTTTATTCTACCTGTTCATCTCTCCCTCCCATCAAATCCCTCTGTAACCATAAGTCTTTCTTTTTAACTTACTCTATTATCTATCTTTTTGGAAATGCCATTCAGTTGCACAATTGGAATTGTACAGCATGCACACTTTTCAGATTTGCTTCTTTCACTTAGTAATAAATAATTGTTTCCTCTATATCTTTAAAGTGATTTTTTTTGAACAAAATAAATTCACATACTTGCCAGTATTTTATGGTGTCAATATTCTCAATTTGGATCATTGAAACGGCTGTAGAGATGTATCTACAAATAAATTTAATTTTTCGTGAGGAATGTGATATGGGAAACATTTGCATATACTTTTTGCAACTAAATATTTTCTTTCATGTCGGATCCAGTAAAGGTTTCTGGTCCATTGTTTTCAGTCAAGTCATTTGTATTTTATTATTTAGTTCTGAGATATCTTTGTGTATTTTTAAATAAAAATCCTTTATCATATATCTCTTTCAAGTATTTTATTTCAGATGGTGGCCTTTTTTATTATTATTATTATTTTTTTTTTTTTTTTTTTTTTTGCTTTTTCATTTTTACCGGTACCAGGGATCGAACTCACGACTGCCTGCTTTCAAGGCAGGCGCTTATGCCGCTGAGCTAAATCCCCAGCCCCCTTTTTTATTATTTTTAATAGCATCTTTTAAAAAGTGAAAAATTTAGATTTTATTGAAATTGGAATATTATTTTTCTTCACAGATAATGCATTTAGTGTTATACCAAAATATTATGGCAAAGTCAGTGGCTATCTAAATTTTCCATGCTGTTTTATTTACAATTATTTTTGCACATTGAGGCTTGTGGTCCATTTTGAACTAACTGGTACGAAGTGTGTGTTGTCAGGTTCTAAGTTCATTTTTGTTTTGTTGTTTTTTGAGTGCAGTTATCTGCTGGTCCCATTCTATCATCAGTGGAACAAGTAGGTACTGACTCTATCTGTGGAGACTGAGTACTTCTTCCCACTTGCTGAAAAGGTCAGCCTTACTGACTGAGCCATCTGGGTGTGAGACAGCTGCCCTTCTTACTGCTACCACCACTGCTTGTCCTGCTGTTGTGGCCACCACAGCCAAGGCTGAAGTCAAGGAAGAGTCGGATGAATACATAGAATACATAGAATTTGATCCGAGTAATCATCAAAAAGCAAACTATTCATGCTGCTCAATTAGCACAAGTAATGAAATAATGACATAATTTTCTTTTAAACTTGACAACATCCACAAAGTAACTTGTTGAGATTTTTGATTTGAAGTTGCACTGAATAGATGACATTAAGAAAAACTGCTAGCTTAATGTAATTGAGCTGTCTTTTCATGAACATGGAATTTCTGGTTCAATTTGTTTTATCAGAGGTTTTTACTTTACCTTATATATAAATCTCATTGATGTTTTGAGAAGTTTATACATAAGAATTTAAATTTTGGAAGGGCTGATGTAAAGCATATTATGTTCAAATTTTAATGCCACTTGTTCATTGTCAGTATTTAAGAAAGCAAAATTCTATTAAAATTATACCCTGAAAATTATTTATAATTGTTTATTCTAGGAGTTTTTCATTAATTTACTTGCATTTCTTACACATCTGAACAAAATAATTTATTTTCTTTCCTTACCAATTTGTATATCTTTAATTTGCTTTTCTTACAGCATTGGCCAGGACTTTCTGGACAATGTAAACCAGTAATAAAAGGTCACATCCTGGCCTTGTTTCTTCCTGATTTATGTGAGATATTATTTAGCTTCCCTTCCTTGAATGTAATTTTAACTAGAGAGTTTCTTTATCAAGATGAAAAGCTTGTTTCTATCCCTAGTTTACAAAGAGTTTTCCTTTTGAATTGGTGTTAGGTTTTTGTTAATGTTTTGTATCTATTGTTATAAACAAGCAAATACTGTTATTTAGTTTTTTGATGTAATAGATTATACTAGTTTATTTTATATAATTAAATGTTTAATTCTAATTATTTGGAAAGTTAAAATGTGCTGCATTATATAATTAATGTCGGTCTACTATGTTATTGTAAAAAAACCCAAAAAACTTGAGGACATTTTCCAGGGTCACATAAATACAGAATACAAAAAACAAACAAACAAAAAACTAATGCCTTAAATTACTAAAGCTTTAAATAAGTATGCTTTAAACTATTATTTCTAAAGTTCTGAATCAAAGTAAACATTTATTTGTAAGATATGAACTAAAAAAATTGAATGAAAAATGTGAGAAAATTGTACTCTCATCCATGTTTAGTGAGAAATATAGTACTTTACATTTAAGAGTTTAAAGTCTCTCTAGATGAAAAGTGAAATTGTCCCAATGTTTAATAAGAAATGATATTCTGTTAGAAATATAATAGAGACATTGAAAACCAAGGTCATGAACACGCTGCACCATTGACCCCGATGGCGTGGCTATCAGAATATTTAGGTGAAGCTTTTCAGCAGGACAAGACTGTTCACTACAACATCTGCGAAGATGTTTATGATATTTCTAATCATGTCATTGCCTTGATTACATTTTAACTGAGTCAGTCTATTGCTTGGAAGTATGGATTTGTTATTTCAATAATCTATATAATCATGTATTTCTGATGAGATATAATTCATGGTCAAAGAGAAGATAGAAAATTTGAGACAGAAACACATTAAAATATTTATTGTTGGATTTAAACAGCAGCAATATCCAGGAAGCAGTCGTTTTTCCTTTTTTCCTTCTCTTTCCCCTTTCTTTTTTCTCTTTTTCTTCTTCCTCTTTCTTCATGCTCCCTCCCTTCCTTCCTTCCTTCCTTCCTTCTTTCCTTCCTTCCTTCCTTCCACCTTGCTCTCTTGCTTTTCCTTTCCCAGGTGTATTATGCATATGCTCCCATGTACCTGTTCCATAGAAGGTATGCTGCTTGATTCTTTCCACTGAAAGGAAAAAAAAAAAAAAACAACAACAACAACAAACAAAAAAAAAACATCAGTTTTATCTGAAAACAGATGGGCTCAGCATAGGTAGTGCTTAGGACAAAAAAGTCTAAAATAATAGTTGAATTCTTGGTACATGGAAGCCAATAAAAATAGTGTAAATATTTTTTAAAAATGGAAAAATCCTTAGAAGGAATCAAGTAAATGGAAAAAACACACAAAAGTGAATATTTCAAGGCAATACAATTGGCTGTCCAGAGAAGACAATACATAGTAAGCATGGTGGAGGTCCTGTTAATTAGGTAAGGGCTTTGGGAAAAATAACAAGTTATTGGAAACATATTTATATGAAATAAAAAGAGTCACTATTTCAGAAAATTCACTGATATTAGATTAACACTTCCCAAGTGGCTTTTGAATGTATGAACTCATACTCCACAATGCTGTGTCATTTCTACTGTTTCTTGTCCACATCATATTGGGCAATTATTAAGCTTCCTTTTACTAATTTCTTCAATGTTAAAGGAGAAATAAAAATTCTACAAATATAGCATTTAACATCTGAGGCTACTGAGAAGGATCCATTAGAAGACAGGCACAGAGAGATGCCTGCTTTTAATTCCAGAATGCTTGGAGGGTTAGGCAAGAGATTCACAGATTTGCCAGCCTGGAAAAATCACTGACTTAGCAAGACCCAGTCTCAATCTCTCTCTCTCTCTCTCTCTCTCTCTCCATATATATGTATATATGTATATATGTATATATGTATATATGTATATATGTATATATGTATATGTATATATGTATATATATACATAGAATTAAAATACATATGAAATTATATATGCATATATATATGCATATATATAAGCATACGATATACAAGCATAAGCATATATATATATATATATAAGCATAAGATAAGCATACAGCTTAGTTAAAGGTCCTGAGTTTAATCTCCAGAACAGCCAAAAAAATGAATAAAAAAAGTTTAAATAAATAAATAAATAGTACAATAAGCATGGTTTATTACTTATAATGCACACATGTAACAGACGTTAAATTGAATTAAATACATTTTACCTTTGCTATTCATTAATAGGAGGATTTTGTGCTGAAGTTTTTCTCTGTCTCCAGAAAGTTAACAGGCCTGGAGTTAAGTAATGAAATTATCAATTAGTGGCTAAATACTCCATCTCGTTCAAGTTTGTTGTGGTAACTTCTTTCCAAAATTTTCGCAGAAATTCTGCTGAATTCAGTTGTGACAGCAGTTAACATCTCATTCATGCAGTTTGCTCGCTTTCTATCTTTGTATATCATTTACATTCTCATAGGTGTATCTAAGATCATTCCCCAAATAAACTACTAGATCTCAACTGTTGGCCTAAATGTCTAATTCTTAAAGATCCAAAATAGTGGCATTGGTTAATGCATGTTAGTCATTATCTAGGAGCATACATTTGCTACTTGCTGAATAACTTTCTGTATGAATTATGTGCCTTGTATAAAGACTATTTCTCTTTCCTCCACTTTAAAACTCAAAAAGAGTGAGTTCCTAATTTATTTTCAGCTTTTACTCAACATTCTGGTGGAGAAATACATACTTCCTTATTCTGTAGTAGAGCTTGTGACATGACTGAGAAACAAACCAGGTAAGTAACTTACAAATTTATCCTGGAAATTTTACCCTAAGTTTCTTCTAAGTTTGTTTGTTTGCTTTTTGTTTTAGAGGCTTGAGGCAATGATTAAAAATGATCATTTACCTGTTTGCTTTTTTAGAGCAGGTAAACAGGTGAATATCTATTACTGATAAGTGAAAACATGTAGGGAACTCAGGAGAGATAAGTAACTCTAGGAAGTACTGAAGTCAAACAGAAGAGGGACATTAAAGATATAACAAGTTGCGCAAGGGGATTTAGCTCGGTGGCATAAGTTCCTGCCTTGCAAATGCGCAGTGGTAAGTTCCTAGTCATGGTACCAAAAATAAATAAATAAATAAATAAATAAATAAATAAATATAAAAAAGGACCAATATTTAGCTTAGCATTGTAAGTGCCTGCTTCACGAATGTTTTTGTTGATCTTCTTTCTGGTCTAGGAACAACACTAGAAAAACCCCTGTCTTAAGCTAATATTTTGAACATTATTCTTAAAGTATTGATACTAGCGTGTTAATTTCATATGATACGGAATCATGGATTTGTTCTATTTTACTGTCTTTCCAAGATTTTGAAAACTGCTTTGCTATAACAATTAAGCCCACTTTCACTGAGGATAAATTTAGCTTGTTCCATGATATCTTCTTCCATTCCATAGCTATCACTTATATCCTTACAATGCTCCAGTTTGTTTCAAAAGGATATGTTCAACTTTGCATGTGAAATGACCTTGAAAGAGTTGAAGGAGATTATGTAAGACTTTAGATGGACCATATGCTCTTATGGATTTTACCTAAACCTGGTATACTGTCTGATTTAGCAAGAACAGACTACTATTTAACATTATTATTACAATGAGAGCCCTGGGGATTTCCCTCTGCAGGGGAATACTAAAAAATAATTAGAAGTGAAAATATATTTTATATTTATGATAACAAATGGTTTAGACTGTGTCTGTATCCCCAGTATTTAAAAAAAAATATATAGAATGGAAAAGATACTGAAAAACTATCTATGAATTGAACCACTGAATCAAAGTTTCACCTTATCTATCATGTGTGTAAATTTCAGAAAGATAATGAAAAAAGTGTATCAAAATAAAATTTTTTCTCACTACATATGGCTGAAAGCCTCACTATATCCATCCTCTTTTTTCTTCTTCCCCTCTACACAAATGCATATGTGAAGTGTACACCAAGATATTTATGTTCATCCTTCTTGGATGATAAATGAAGAATAACTGAAATAATAGAATTTGGCAGCAATCTCAAGAAACATGGTACGTATGATCTTGATTTAGGTCAGTGATCTCATTTCTATATATTCTTTTTCCTTAGCCTTGAATACAGTTTTTAATTGAAAATGAGAATAACTGTGAAAACAAGGGAACTAGCTCTATATGTGTTTATCTTAGGAACATTTTGAAAGTCATCTTTAGTTCACATAAAAATTTTAGTAAGAAAGACATTTTTATTTCCATCATTTTACTAATGAACCTAAGAGACAGTAGCTTGTTTGCTCACAGTTATACAACTATGAGGAGATTTTAATAGAAAGGAACCAAGCTGATTAACGGCATGTTTCTGTCACTTATATCTTAATTTTTATGGGTAATCTCTGTATCTAATTAGGCAGGATGCTGTAAAAATAAGTAGATGAAATTAAGAATAGTTCATCAAGTAGATGAGTCTGTTAGTGGAATGGTCTGCCTTCCTTTGAAATAATCTATACATAGAAATGACTTTTAAAAATTAGGGGACTCTTTTTCAAACTCTGAGAAACGTAGTGCCTTACTAGAGATTCAGAAAAAAAGGATGAATAAAATGTGTTCAACTAGATTAATGGTGATACTCTCTAAAAGACTTAGTTGCTGCATATAAAATAAAGGACAAAATGAAACAGGGAGAGAGACAAAGGAGGAATCATAGAAATGTTAGAATTCTATGAAATCTGAGAAATACTGTATCATATATATATATATATATATATATATATATATTCCATTTAACATATAAAACTATATACCTAATTGATTATTAGTTTGTGTATATCAGTAACAGTAAAATACTTAGGGAGAATTAAATTTTTTTGAAAATTAAATATTTTAAAGAGGTTACTGAATAATTCATTCAGAACTTAACCTAATAAGAGAAAGAACTATTTTTAAAGCACAAAGTTAAGAATAATAGAAGACAAACTGAAAATTCTGAATCTTTCCTGGCAGGTTTTTCAGAAACAGAAAAAATGAGAGGAGAATAGGGAAAGGCATTTAAAGTAGAATTTAAATTGCTGTTTCTATAATTGATGGAAGATATTGTTTTTTAGCTTAAAGTGCTTCACAGAATCCCAAATAGGATAAATAAAAAAGGTTAAAAAGTGAAAGGGTTGCTGGCCCAGACCGGATACTGTAGCCCATAAAGCCAAGGAGCTCCTATCTCCCCCCACCCTTAGGAATTACCTCTGGCACCAAACTAAGACCAATGGGCTACCTGTGCATCCCTAATGCCCCCTTGGGTTCTACCCCAGGCTGAGGCTACTTATGTGCCTCACTCCACGTGTTCCACGGAGGGATCGCCGGCCTGGGGTGGAGATGCCACCCCCCAGGCGTTCGGGGGTGTCTCTCCCCGCATTCCCAAAATAAAGGTTACTTATATTTTATACTTCTTATCTTTTCAGCCGCCACCAGTCCTCTTCCTCTTCCTCCCCTCCACAGTTCTATAGCAACCCTTTCAAAAAACAGAATGACAAATTTTAAAAAGAATAAAAGTAGGATCAAAAAAGAACTATTCAACACAGACCTTACTGATTTTAGATTCGAAATAAAACCTAAGATCTATAGTAAATAAATTACAGATAATCACCAAGTAAAGTGGACTGACAGTAGTATCAACAGTAAATATTATCGCCAGAGAATTGAGGAAGCGATATTAAGTTCCAGTTTATTTTATCTTTCATTGCACTTTCAGATTAAGTACAAGTGGTCCATCCAGGGACTTGAAAAATAAAGCAACATTTAAATGTTGCACTTGAATAAGAATGCAACAAAAATTCAGGAGGAAGTGGGTGAAGATTGGAAAAGCTAATCAGAACTAAATGGACTAAAACTTTTATGAAAAATTAAAGTTCCATACAAGAAGCTAGAAATTTTTTGGCTATAAAAATATGCTAAATTGTATAACTTACTTGATTCTGATTAGAAATTCTAAATATCTGTCTGTTCAGAAAGTTTACAATTTTGTGCATGTTAAAGGAGATATTTACTAAGTAATATGAAATTAAATATTACATTTAAAACTATCACTGGAAATGATGAAAATAACACTAAAAATCTGAAGTTAATAGAAGATAATAAAGAAAAAAAGTGAAAATAAGAAATGACAAATATATATTTCTAGAATATTTACTAAGCCCAAAAAATACAAGCAATTTAAAATTGACATAGTTCTACTAATATTCCATAAGAATAGTATCATTAATTAGAGCTAGAAAAGATCAGATAGGACATTTGAAAATCCAGCAGCACCATGTTATTGTGTTTCTAAAAGAAAAACTACTGTCAACTATATAAGATGATTTAAATAAAAAGCTGGAAATATGATATTCATGCATTTAATAAATGTGGCTACTAAGGAGATACAAACATAAGAACTGAAGTTCTGAAAAAGCATTAAATAGAAAAATGACATGCAGCTTCTATGTTCTTTATCAATAAATTTGTAATTGAGTCACTGTAAACTCATAAAATACAAATGTTATTAGCAATTTAATGAGTCAATATGAATAAATATCCCATATATTACTGAGCATAAAGGGAAATGTCAGAGTGTTTTGTTCCTATTACATAAAACATTCAGAATACCAGAAACATGTGCGTGTGTATACCTGAGATGACTATTCACCAAATTTACTACAATCCTTACCATAAAGATTGGACTCGGATAAAAATTTCATTACAGAATCTTAGAAATGAATAAACAAAAATAAAAGTCTAATAAAATAGCAAATATATTTTAAAATCTCATTGTGCAGGTGTGTGTGGTGTAGGTGATGGGATGAAGGAAAATTTGCAGTTTGAATCTTTGGCATATGACTCCCTTGAGACTAGGACACCAAGCCATAATTAGCAATCCAGGCCACTAGGCAGAGGAATGAGGAAATCAATATGCAAAACTCCTTTATGTAGAAGTTTCAACTCTCAGAGGCAGTGACTTGAGCTTTGCAGAGCATGTTCAGCCCTTTGCTAACCCTCCTTCTGCTCTGATTATTCTCCTAGCTCATTCCCATCAGTTCCCCTCTTCAGAAGCTCCCTCCTGACAATTGCACAAACCCACTTTGCATCTGTCAGGACAGGCTTTATAATCAGAATTCATGCAAATGTCACTTCTCAGCCTTTAACACCCAAAGAGAGATTCTCATTCTGCAAATGGGCAAATAGTGAGACAGCCAGTCCCAGTGTGTTCCTGTTTCAGTAACAAGTGTGTTAAGGGTTATCTCTAGATGTCCCCCAAAAGCCTCCTACTTGGAGATTTGGGAAGATGATTGGAACATGGAGGTAGGGTATTCATCTGTAGGTTTTCTCCGACAGGTTTATGGCTAAATGTGATGTGGGTAGGTGAAGCCTGATCTGATCCGGTGGGTCACTGGAGGCATGGCCTAGAAGGTGTAACTCTCCTGTCAGGATCTCTCTCATCTTCTTCACCTTCCCTTTCTTCCCTTTCCCCTGTCCTTCCTTTTTGCCTTCCTTTCCCCTCTGCCTCCCTTCCCACTCTTTTCCAGGGCTAAGACATGAACAATTTGTTTGCCAAGCCCCTCTGCTATGCTGCACTGCCTTGGAGCCAGTCAACTCTAGATAGCAACCTTTAGAAACAGTGAACCATAGGGGGGGAAAAATATTTCCGTCTTTAAGTTGTGTGTGTATTAAACATTACATTCCAGCAACAAGGGAAGTGGAAAGTAGTTAAAAGAAAATAATTTTAATTACTTTTACCTCCCAAACCTTGTTTATTGCTACTATTAGCCCTTAAATCTTCTCACATAGATTATAAACAAATCAGAGGCCACCTTATGGAGATGATGGCATCAGTAATGAGACCAGATTCTTTTCTAGAAAAAATTGAGACTGGGCCATCAAATCTACCTTAAACCCTGGATCAACCACTTGGTGGCTACAGCAGAAGCTGCCAATCTCCCAAAGTGCAGACACTTTGAGAGCCTTACTAACCTGCCTGGTCTGAGTGGTCTTTTACCTAGATGCATCTAGTTCTAAGATCCCTCTTCATTTTTTGTTTTTCTTCAACCATTAATTCTATTTTCTTTTTTGGTTCTTCTTGCAACAGTACATTTTCACAAGCTCTGTTCACTGTCTAGGAAGATTCTCACCCCAAACCTCACCCCACATAATCAAGTTAGCCCTATAGTTCCTTAGATTACTCTCTTTTACCATGTTCTCAAGGGAATCTATTTTAATGAACCACATTTCTTCTATAGTGGATTCTCACAGCAACATATTTTCCTAACAATATAATGAAACTTCATTTACTACTACACTTCTTGTACTAAAGGTTATCTACCAAATAACAACGGAAAACTAGGAGTGTATGACATGCTGCTTAGTTTTGCTTATTAATCTCACTGCATTAATGCCCTCCTGGAGGTGGCTTGCAATGTGAGAGCACAAGTGATTAACGCATTGATGAGTTCATAGCAGGATGGACCATTTCATGGTTGGGCACAGTTGGAGGAAGTGATCCTGGGGACCTTAGTTCATCCCTTATCCATTCCATTCTGGCTTTTGTCCATGCCACTCTGCTTCTGGGCATCACAAGTCGAGAAGTTTTCCTATTCAGTGCTCTTTTACCGTGATACCTCTGCTTTGGGCCAGATGACCACGTATTTGCACATTTGAAAGCATGTGACAAAACACAGCTATCATCGCTGAAGTTGTGGGATTCAGACAGAATATCCCAGTATTGGAAGAGCTGAAGAATGTAATGATCATGTGGATTGTGTGTCCCTTTCTCCAAACTCCACAGTTACTTAAGCCAAAAATCCATCTCCTGACTTTTTCCATGCTTCTCAGACTGAGGATGTGGGCATAGTTAGAACCAAAGTTCAATTCTTACTTCAGATCTCAGAATGATCACAGATAAATAATAACCGGAATTAATTCACTCTGGGAATACCTGACTAATTTTTTGAAAGTAAAATTTAATTTCAAGTCACTTTATAATTTTATAAAAGGTAGCAAAGTATAGTGGCTTTACATATACCTTACCCCCTAGTTTCCCTCCTACCGTGGCTTGGTTTGGATGAGATTACCACAAGAGTTAGAGGTCATTGGGGTCATATTTTGAAAGAGGTGTTGGAACACAGATTTTGTCCTTTGTTCTATGTCCTGCATCATCACTTGTGATTTACTTTGCCATATATTCCTGCCAGGGTATACTGTCTTCATCGGGCCCAAAGACAAGCAGTACTTGTTCTTGAATTGAAGTCTTCAAAATCATGATCCAAAATAATTCTTTTCTAAGTTAATTGAGTCAGGTATTTTATTTCGGTGATGGAAAGCTTAAACATTATCTATCATTGTTATGGCACATATGTCAGAGTTAATGGACTATCAAAGTTATTAATTTAAGTTCATACTTCATTAATATTTCCTTAGTTTTTACTACTGTCATTTCCTTTTTTATTAGTATTTCATCCAATATACTTGCTTATGTTTGATCCTTATTTTTCTTGAGGTTTTAGCAGATGTGACAGTTTCTTACTTTTTCTTTATGAGAATCTTGATAATTTTGAATTGCTCTGATTAGGTATTTTATACAGTTTTCAAGGAACTTTTGTCTCATGGTTTTGTAATCCTCTGATTGGAGTTACGACTGTCAAGAAGCAAGTCCACAGAGATAAAGAACATTCTTACCACTTTATATAATAGGTACATGATATTGATGTGGTAACTGATAGGCTGGTTGTTTTAGACTGCAACTAGTCTTTCATTTTTCCTCTTTTAGTACATTATCTACAAGGAGATCAGTATGCTGCTCTCACACTTAGGGTGGGCAGAAAGAAGTTTTAGCTATTTGAGGGCTCAATATGTATGTAAAGTAGTTGTAGTTGATTTTCATGAAAAATTTATTTCTTCTTCTTTAATTATTTATTCATATAGGTATCAACTCATGGAAGGTGCTTGTTTTCTATATAGAAAATGATTAATTTTTATTAGAAGTATCAATGGAGCTACCTGGGACATTCAGACATGTACTCACAGTTAACATTCCAAACTTCTGTCCAACCCAAATTTATCATAGCCCCCAACTCTGTGTAAGATAGTCTCATAGCATATTGCAGCATCAAGACATACATATGTCCCTAGCTCAGAAAACATAATTCTTCCCTTTCCTTATTAACTATTATCGTCCACTTTATTCCTCTTTTCTTGGATTTTCTATTAATGTAAGAATAATGTACTGCAAAACTTGATGGTAAAGGTCATCTATGTATTACATTCCTTGATTCAGATTATATAGATCTAGAATTCCATTGGGGTGTAGCAGACATCATTGCATTCTGATTCTCAGGGTCTGTACTTTAGCTATGAGGTTCAGGGTTTGGTTTGTAATTCCACATTTTCAGATTGGTATTGTCTCAAACTTTGTTCACAGACACGTCTAACAATTCATACTGGTTGTTTATTTGGACCTTAGCTAAGTCTGTAGAAAGGTCAACTACATGTAGCCTCTCCATGTGTTCTGGAATTCTTCAAAATAGTGGCAGAAATAAAAATACAGGGGAGGGTTGCTGTTGACAAAGGTATCACTTTTCATAACCTGACCTAAATTGTCACTTATGAGTGGAGAAAAAAAAAAAAAGTTCTTTAACCAGAGATGCAACACAGTTAAGAAATATTAGAGACTGATAAAAGACACCCATATGACCTTCCCCCAGAGAGTCCTATCATGAAAATATTAACTTATTGGTAAGGAAAAAAAGATCGTGACTCTATAGTATTAATGGCTGTGTGAAATAAGATCAGAGTGGAACCAGGAACATAGATAGTCCAACCTAGTAAATTTATAGCACTCAGAGATTCAGATGAAATTGATTAGTTTCCCTAACTAGCTGACAAATAACCCGAAGGAGAGCTTATTTCATATGCTTAGAAAATTAACAGTGGCTTATATAAATCATAAGATGATTGTAGTATTTTATAAGTAGAAAATTATTCTACTATAGGAATTTTCATCTTGCTTTGTAAATTCTGGATTTTTGCCTTCATACTAAACCTGAAAATTCTAAAGAGCCATATATGTCAATAGTAATGTTCACTATTACTTGTGATCCTACTAAAATCAAATTGACTTATAAGAACTTTTAAGAATTTCCAAATGCTGAACCTCTGCAATGCTTGAAATAGCACACATAGGTGAATCTTAAATAAACTGGGATTTGCATGTTATAGAAATTTGCACTTTATAGAAATTTCTCCTTAATTTAGACTTATCTTACATGTTTGGAATGTAACTTCACAGAGCTGTTTCTAGATATATTTATTTTATACTTTTCCAATGATGCTTTATAATTTCTTCATGGTGTATACTCAATATAGCACACATAAACAGAAATAGTACACATGTATGTTTTTGGTGGAAAGAGACAGAAAGAGAGGAAACTAGTGAGTGTATCTGCTCATACCTGTTTGAAACAGTAAAATAATTTTCTTAGGGTTTGGTACTGTTTCTCATTCATACAAATCATTCAAGACACAAGATTCAATTTTGTTTGTAACCTGAGTTTTAATTCTAGAATATGACATATTCTTTATTGCTTGTGTGGATAAAGCTTCACTTTTCAAAAACTATATCAAAATTCTTATAAATGAGGATACTGATATTCTATTAACTGTGAAATTTTGGCTATATCATATGGGAAATTGTTAAAAATATTTTATATACTTGAATTGAAGTGCGTTGTTGATATGACCTTAAAATTACTGATCAAAAATTGTTTTTAAACTGAGTGCCATCAGCTCGCGTGTTTTATTTTTAGTAAACAAAAACTTTCACAATCTAGTGAAAAATTTTTGAGCAATGTTTTCAAATTCAGTGTGGTTTATATTTTGAAATTATTCATAGATTAAAGTGCTTTTAACCTATAAAATATATTACCAATTGCAAATTTTTCGTATATAGCAAACCAGTCATCTTTTAAATATTACTTTATTTAAAAATGAATTTTACCTTCACATATTAGAGCATACATATGAATGAATGTGTATGTATATTATCTCCTAGTATATGCTATATAAAAATATCTATTTAGCACTAAAAATACCTAGTTAAGATTAAACATGCAATACATATTGCACAGCTAGTGGTATACATATTTTTAAAATATTTAGTCCTGAAATGGTTTTATAAAAATGAAATGGAGCTTCTAGGTTTTCAGTCCACCGAGCTTCTTTCATTCCGCTAAAGATCACTTTAATTTGAAATGTTCAGAAAGTTCAAGCACATGACAGTGCCACAACAGGAGCAATTTTATTGAAATAGAAAGTGAAGAACAAAAATATTCAATAATTATTTCATTGATGTGCAGGGAATGAATTATTCATGGTTACAAAGTATGTGTGTATAATTTTAATTCTCTGAATTAAAAGGCTGCTAGACCCACTGAAAGTACATTGACAATTTTTAGGGATCATCTGCTACCCAGTACTGTATACCATCACCACTGTTTATGTGTATATGTGTGTGTTTGTGTGTGTTTGACTTTCTGGGTGATCATTATATGCTTTGTTGGCCTTTGATATATTGGTTTGATAGTTATAAAAATGGATCACTGGAGGTGATAAAGTAAATTATTCTTCACTCAAGTGCATTATGCATTTTCTAACAATCTGTTTGTAGCTATGACACACATTCTGAAACATTAAAACTGCTCCCTGCAAAGATTTCCTTGGAGAGAGAATTGCTTATATACTTCTGAATTCTCTTCAATGACTAATGGATAAAAAGTCTCTGTCTGCCACTAATCAGGTGTAAAACTGTGAATCTGAAATGTAGTCACTTAATGCCCAAAATGAATTAGGTGAAATTAGATATGGACTTAAAGAACATTTCATTTTTTTCCTGTTGTTCCATATCACATAAATACGACTGACTACATTCTCTGTCTTTCCCTCTCTCCCACATAGTGGTTATATGTTTCAAGGGAATACAATATATACTTTCAAAATATTCCTTCATGCAAGAAATGAATAGCTAAAAAAGGAAAATTGTTTCCTAATCATCCTCTACATCCATGCAATATTCTTCTGTGATTCAGTTAAATACATTGTTGATAAATAGTGTTGAATTATTGAAATCTGTTCATGTCAAAAGGCAAGAATCCAATTATTTCATTGACATACCTGCACAAGTTCATTTACATAGACATACATAATTGCCTCCCATAATTTTTATGTATTGGGTGAACTATTAAGCAGCCCTAAATTACTACTTGCCTGACAAAAATAGGGTCAAATTTGATTATAGCCTCTCATAATAAATACAATGGAGTATTGGACTCCTCTCAAAATTATTGGAATAAAAAACTTTAGTTTCAGACATACATTTACATGACCTTAAGTAAGTCACTTAAACTTTGCAATCTCATTTTCCAGGCATTAAAATAAAATAAACCAGTCATGGTAGCAAACTCACAATCCAAGGACGCTAGAATGGCAAAGAAGGAAGATTGAAAATTCAAACAAAGCCTGTGCAATTTAGGGACTTAGCAAGTCGTTTCTCAAAGTTAAAACTTTAAAAAGACTGAAGATGTATCTCAGTATGCAATACCTAGATCCATTGCCCAGTACCACAAAATAAGCAAACAAATAAATAAAAATTTTTAAAAAGTATTTAATTATGACCTCCTCATCCATTAAATGGTATAATCATATTTCATTGGTATAATGGTATATAAATGGTATAATCATATTTCATATTTCATATAATTGATTCACATCACACATTGATGCTATTGAAGGGTTTATAAACCTATTAGTTATTTTATATTAAAATGTAGAGATGCTCACACTTAGATACATATTATAAATCGTTTATTACTATGTCATTAGATGAAGGAATCATGGATTTTTTCCTTTTATTATCATTGATATGTGCAAGGTAATTTTTTTTAATGATTGAGAAGTATCTTCTATTAATTAAATATAAATTAAATTAAGGGTTTTTGGTTAAGATTTAAGAGCACGCTAAAGGCAAATTTATTGTCTTATATTCCTGATCTTTATAAACAATATAAACACAATACTTAGGAATTATCATACAGAAATATCATGATTTACCTTATCACAGCCATTGTAATTTTCTGGAATTATAAACTCTCTGGTGGCTGCTTTGGCCTCATAGTTAATGTTCTCAGGCTTGAGGCTTTAAAACACAGTAATGAGCACTGTGAAGGTCAGGGAAGGTCAAGGAGCTTTTTTAATGAAAGTAATTAAAAACCCAATTAATGATCTACTTTTTATTACAAGAACATGGTAAAAAGTTAAAATCGTAGAAATGTGATTTTCACTTCATGCTATCCTTTTGAAGCAGAAGAACTAGTTGGAAAATGTATTACAAACATTATAACCTTAAATCTCTAAAGTATAGCCAGTTTACCCTTTGGCAGATGTGAAGATAGAAAATATTCGATATTTCTGCATAAATGTTAGAGTTCTTCTTCATTAATCTTTATTATAAAATGACTTTTGAAAGGAAAAAAATACTAAATGTAAAACAGGTTTTTAATTTTACTATTAATATTTTAATTCTAAAGTTTTTCAATAGCAAAACATGTGTAATGCTGAAAATGTATTCAAATAATTTCAAATTCCTTATATTTATATTTAATGTGGAAAAGGATGCATGTTAAATTACTTTTAACAGATTAGTTTATCAAATCCATTATATTATAGATATTACCATGCTTGCATACAATTAATGTAGAATTATTGAGGTATTTGACATTTTTTGATTTGTTGTTGTAATAAGTCTTTGAAATCAATTGTGTGTTTACGTATATAATTCATTCCAGTTTGCATTAGTTATATTTTCTTTGTTTACTTTTTAATTTTATTGATATTCTGTTGATAGACATAAGATCATATTTATTATAAGGAATTTGTACCTGTACTAATACACATCTTCATTCTTTCTTTTCCCATCCTTACTTTCAACCTTCCTTCCCTTCCCTTTGTTTCCATTTTTTCCTTCTATTCTCTTTTTTCTGCTTTGTCTTCCTGCTTTTCTCTTTTTTCCCTTTTTGCTCTACTTCCTATTTGAACATTTTCTTACCACTTGCTAATATCTTCATCCAATTTGGCTTTATTTTTGTTGTTTCTTGAGACACAATCTTGCTATACAGCATGATGTGGCCTGGAACTTGCACCAGTTCTCCTGTCTCAGCCTACCGAGTGCTGGGTTTACAAACACATATCACCAGGCTTACATTAGTGATGTTTTATGTACACGATAGTCAACTCTATCTCAAGACTTCGTACACTTCAGTGTACACTGGTACACTGTGAGGACAGCAGCAAATGACCTGAAACTGACATTCTTATATTGTTTATCCAGATTTAAAAGATTTTCATTCTTCAAAGAAAAATACGTTAAAAAAAAAAAAAGACAACAGAATGAACAGATTCAAGTGAAGCTGACTGCCTTGCCCACTTTTGTCTGCAAGACACAACAAACTAAATTTTCATTTCAGCTCCCATGGAGTGAATCAGCACTGGGACATTCACATATCATTCTAATTTTTATGATTCACTCAAGATTTGGTTTTCTTGTTTGTTTTAAATTTTAGGTTTTGGCATTATTTTGTCAGGTCTGCACTAAGAAAGCGGTTATTAAAAGAAGCAGGACCTCTTCTCTTCCAAAAATTTACTTATCTAAACTTAAAGTTTCAATATGCTACAAATTTCAGTAGCTCATTTAGCAGTTGACATGTGTGATAGATGTCATACTTTGTTATCATCTCTCTGAAGTCTACAATACTTCTCGACCTGTCCTGTGTGAAGGATACTATTCAGTAGCACCTGACCTAAGAAAGCTCCAGAAGAAAGTCTGACGATGGAAAAAAATTTGATTCTTGAAACTTTGTCTTGGCAGAGAGTTAGAGCTCTTGCCGAACACCTTTGCAAGCTGCATTGTCTGTCTTATTTATGGCATTTTGTTCACATGGATATATCATTGCCAAACAGAAAGATGGCTCTCTAGCCAGGTATGGTGGTGGGAGATTGCTTTCTGCTGCACAGGATGTGAGGAAGAAGAATCACAGGTGCTCAAGAGTTAAGGACCAGCCTGGGAAACAGAGCAACAAAACAAAACTGTAACACACATACGCAGAGAGTGGTCATGTGTTGGCAGTTAGGAGACTGATGAGGGCAATTCTACTTACCGGCAGTGCCCACCTCAACATTTATTAGGAAGGCTCTGGACTTTCTTCTTGCCAATCATCCCTCAAAACAGTGATAAACCCCATTTACTAGTTCTTAACCACCAAAGCAAACCTTGTTTTCAGAGAAGCAACAGGACAAATTGTCTGCAAATCGATTGCGTCGCAATAAAATAATCAGTATTCTGAATAATAATAGCAATTTAGTACTTTGATAATCACATGTCTAGATTAAAACAAAATCTGTTTCAAGGATGGCTACTGGGTGTCAGGGATTTGGTTCAATGGTGTAAGTGCCTGACTGGCAAATGCTAGGTCATGAGTTCAATTAATGGTTCAAAAAAAAAAAAAAAAAAAAAAAAAAAGGATGGCTACTTGATTACATGCTCTTCTAAATATAAGTTTTTGAGTTCCTTGTGTGAATACCTATCATGCTATTGTTCATGATACTTTCACCCCTGTATCTATCTCTGTTCTATAAGAAATCTACTATTACTATCTCTTTTAATAAAAAAAAAAAAAAAAAAAAAAAAAACTCTATAAGCATGGTGGTGTTAAGTAAAGTGACAACTTCCTTGTGAAGATTTTGTAAACAATGATACTTTCTTCCCACAATATATTATTACTACTTCTTTAATGGATCTTAGCTAGAATTCAAGCTCAAGGTAAAACTGGGCACTTGGAATTTAAACATTTTTAATTCCTTTACTAGGAAAAAAAAATATTTTCTCGAGTTGAGATTTATCACATTGTTCAATATGGTCACCAGTGAGCAAGGACATTACAGACAGGGATTATGTGTCTCACTGACTCCCTGACATTCTTTTGAATTGAAGGAAGGAAAGGGGAATGTAAGTACAATGTCCTCTGAGCTTTCCATCTCCTGTGTGTCCAATTCACAAAAAACATTTTAAGAATTAAGCTTGTAGTAGAAAAAAAGTTGTTTAAAAAGATACAAAAATCTCTTGACAAAAGGAAAAGAAGAAAATCTCTTGTTTAGAGAACACTATCTAAATTATTTCATCAAATAATCAGTACATAAAATAAAGTGTCCCAAAAAGGGAATTGTGGATAATGCATTTGGTTAAATGTATGGCGTCGTTTTTACTTAAAGTCACACTTTTTAAAAATTTACTCAAATTTAGATGTTTATGCAAAAGTCAGTCAGTCATCTTGCTGCCTTGCCTTTAAATAAACACATGAAAATGGTCAAAGGTCAAGAGTGGGTGGCAATACGTAATCAACCTGGAAGTTTTTTGTCATTGACCTTATAATTAGAATGGCTCTGATATGTTTTTAAGGAAGAGAGCATACTACTGATGCTTTCTGTCCAAAGCACTTGCATTAACATTCTCAGGTTTTCCAGCCTCCTGTAGGATATCCGTCATTTTATATACTCCAGTTTGTAATTAGTTTCTTCATCTTGATACCTGACTTACATTTTTCAGGGTCCCGGAGTCCCACATGGATTACACAAAATTGTCTTTACTCTTGTTGGAAACAACAGAATGGGTTACAAGAATTGTGAAAAATATAGTGTCTTTGTTCACATTCAATACCATAGTGTCCTTTCTCTTGATAAATGAATATAGTTCTTTTCTAATTCCTCGTGGCTTTATTAGAAATGATCCTTTCATAATAAAGATCTGCATTCCTGTATGTGCTGGTCTAGCTATCCTGATTTTCAATAAAAGCAAACAAAATACTTTACAAAAACATCTTCAATAATTGGTTTAAGCCAGATCAGCTATTGCACAGATTTACAATGCTAAGATTTGAAAGAATTTTCCCAAAGGTCTATGTGCAAAGGTTTCACTTCTATCATGAAAGAAGTAGGGATTATGTAAATTTGAATAAAAGAAGCTCAAGTAAATTGGCTCAGAAATGCCACACCCTAGGGTAGCAGACACCCACCCTATAGCAGCTTGTCACCTGGATGGTATAAGGGAAAAGTAAAGTCTGCTTCTCTTTCTCCAGAGGAGCTCCAGTCTTCACTTTCATCTTGAATATCATCTTCTGGGTCCCGAAACAGATTCTTTAACTTTTTGAGCAGGTCCTTCAGCCTTCCTGTGTACTCCTCTGTCTTCCATCGCAGATCCATGAGCTTCCAGAAACAGTGTGCACAGAGTTCCTTCACTTGGATCCTTCAGTTTCTGCACTCTTCCTCATCAGACTCTAGGGGGGGCACTCTAAGCCAATCTCCTCAACTCTTATGTTCTTGTATATGTTGTGTTCTGTTTCTTTAGTAAGTGCTGATTGATATAGGGTACTAGGGCTTTAAGAGGTCAGGCTTTCAGAGAGACATAGCCTCCAGGGGATTATGGGAGCCCCAAGCCTTGCTCTCTCTCTGTATCCTTCCTTATGACTGACCACTCACTCAGACCAACACTTGTGCCACTGTCATGCACCTACCACGTGAGCATTCGATTTCAGTCTCCACACTGTGATCTATGTAAACCTTGTATCTCTAGAAGTTAGTTGCTAGAGGTATTTGTTTTATTAATATGAAATAAAATTGACTTACATCCATAGTTTTTCCAAAGTCATTGTTCCACAGTTTCTTTTCTTAGTCTATATTATTCTAAATATGCACTCCCAACCTTTAAGCTTTTGAATTTTTCTGATCCACTAGATAACCCCAAATATTTCTTGTTATTTTGTAAATATTAAAAAAATCATGGAAATATTTGTAGCAAAATTATCACAGTGTTATTTTTTGATGAGTTCTCCCTTAATTGAAAAAAAGTTTTCTCAGATGTTTCAACAGTCAACATGTATACATTATCGAATGTACTTAGTAATGATTTTTCAGTTTTAGTAAATGAATTAATAATAACCATTCATTTAAAAAGTCTAATGCTTTAACTATGAAACATCACCCTTTACAGAGTTGTGAACTGGTGCTAAATTAGTGGTATGGGTCCAACTCATGTGATGCTGGGGGCCGAGTACAGATGGATTCTAACAGAAGCATGGCAAAGGAAGTTTAGAAAAAGTTCATTATTTTATGGGACAGGGTAAGTGATATAACCTTATAGAATACTTCAAATATTCAGATTCCAGGAATAAAACTCTTCAGAGATTCATCCTTTAACTTAGTATTTTCTAAGCTACTTCCATGTGTTAAGTTTACAAAGAATCAAAACTCAAAGCAGTCAAGATGGAAGAATAAAATAATTATTTTATTGGTAGAGAATATATGTCTGCAGATATCATTTCTGATACATATTGTATTGGATACAAGTTAATGAACTAGTCTTTTTATTATAATTAAAATACTTCAATGACCAAAACAAAATTAACCTATTTTATCCTCCTAATGAATTTATATTGCATACTTCCACTAGATCCCATTAGTACCAAAAGGAGAGAAAAATAAACAAAAGGGAAAATATTCTTGGACATCCCATTCTTAATCAGAATAAAATTTGGGTGCTTGTTTCATAAACTTTCCCTGGTAGCAGTTTTTTTGTTGCATGCAAATGATTCATCAATATTTTCATGGCACTTAGGTACTTTATGGCCCTTTATCCTGAGGCACCATTTATTGAGACCTATATTTTCTGAAGATTTCTGGAAGATCTCACAGGGCAGTGGAGAAGCAGACATGCTAATATGTCAATCATATTAAACAGAGTAAATACCATGACAGAGCAATGAATAGGGCACTTTGAGAGTCCAGAAAATGGAAGTCACAGTTCTTTCCTTAATACCACTTAAGTACTTGTGGGGAAGATGGGGATTAAACACATGAGAGCACAATCAGCCTCAGCATCTTTTGTGCAGAGATTACACTGCATTGCGATTACTTCTTTGTATCTTCATCCAAAGGCTCATGGCTAATTTATATGCTTGAATGAAAGACAGCAAGAGCTTATGCATTCATGCAGTGGATAAAAGACTGCTCTTGCAGAAAACAAAACAAGCAAATCAAATAATATAAAATGAAACAGGAAAGAAAGGAAGAAATGAAAAAAGAAACCAGAGCCTTACAGTGGGCACAAAGCTTAACTCTGCAAGAATGTTAAACCCTATTTGATTTTTCTGCACTGAATCTAAAATGAGCTTGGAGGGCTGTGTTGAGAGGAGTGAAGCAATTTCAAATGACAGAGTTCAAAGGAGGTGGTTATGCATTTCTAAATGGGTACTGAATCTTCTTTAGAGATATTTTGCACTTAGAAATAAGGAGTTCAGTGGAGACTGTCACCTAACTTTCTGGAGAAAATGGTCTATGCAAATGGACCATATCTTTTACTGGAAGCCACAGCCATAGTAATTGTTGACTTCACTCATTTGACATTCTGCAAATATTTATTGAATGCCTACAGTGTGTTCTAGGAGCTAGGGAAAGAAAACATGATATTTCAAAGAGATCTGTATATAATTTATATTGCAAATTGATATGTGGTACTAAACAATCTTAACTATAGGCAAAAATAGCAGTGTTTTTTTGATTCTGTCTCTCTCTATATAAATTTTGGATAAGAGTCTATACGACTTGAGATACAATTATTTCTTAAAGAAAATAATCATTTCATTATATAATAGTACTTGAAATAAAGTATATCTTTCTTTGCAGTACCTCAGGAGATAATAATTGTTTTCATCTAAGGCTTGACGAAGTGTTTAATAAAAATATGTGAGAGTTTAATACAATATAACTATAGAAATTAATATATAGGATGAATGTAAACTAAGCTTTAAATTGATATTCCTACTGCAATAGTGTACTAAGTATAGCATTCACTTTACTTTCAAAGCAGTATAGAACAACAGGCATAGTATGCATAGTTAGCCACATTATACACAAATTCTAGGTTTGGGAGAGCACAACATATATAGCATTATTTTTAGCTTTCTTTCCCCTTTAATTTGATAAGGAAATCCTTAATTTTGCTTTGGGAAACTATCTCCCCTCCTTCATTTTCTCTCTCCTTTTCCTGAACCTTTACCTCTCTGCAAGTGGCCTTTGTTATATTATCTTGCTTCAATCTCTATCTCATTGTTCCCCTCTCTGAGATCATTTACATGTCAACCAGTTAGAATATGTTATCCTCTGACAAAGATGTGTCAGAAAGATGTGTGATGGAATAATTTAAGTATTCTATCAGATTTCTAATAGGTACACTAAAAAAGAAGTCATCATTTAGGAATTGTAATCTCTGAGAATGAGATATGTCAAAAGCTGCCTATGGGACATGACATCTACAGAATGGATTCATACCATGTACAGGGGCCAGGCTTGGTACTATTTCAAACACAGATAAAGTGGATCAGAGTAGATGCAATTTAGTATTCTTAATCTATTATTTTAGTTTCATGGTGGTAAATCCATTATCAAGCAAGTTTCCTTCCTTCTTTGGTGGCAAAACAGTTAATCAATTTGTACTGTTTTCTGGGAAATTGTAAAGGAAACACCTATCTTCTTCATAATCTCAAGCGGAGTCTCAAAAATGAATCTAATGAATCTTGTAGTCCTGCTTTGCGAAACAGTTTCTTTATGGAACTAATGACAGGGGTTGGAGGGCTAGGATGAAACATGAACTAACCAGGCTGAAATGATGCGGGTTTTTTTTTTTTTTTTTTTTTTTTTTTTGTTGTTGTTGTTGTTATTGTCTTTTTCCTTTTTATCGGTACCAGGGATCGAAATCACAACTTCTTGCTTGCAAGGCAGGTGCTTATGCTGCTGAGCTAAATCCCCAGCCCCATGCATTTGTTCTTGATTCTGGACTTTGAATTCATCCTTACTCAAACCACATGGATAAAGGCCAAATAAGTGATAGTATCTCTTTTTCTTTCTTCTTTTTATTTTTAAAGAGGGTAAAATTAAACAGAACAAAACAGATCATATGATAACAATGTAACAGACAGATTTCAAAGCAAGACAGTAGGAGATCTTCACTATCTATCATATTGTCTCTTGTTTTCTTCCAGATAGTTGTCCATATCTTCACACACAATGAATTCATACAAAATAAAATAGTGTAAAACTTATCAGAACAGAATGATGAAGGCATTTTAGGTCTTCAAGACCAGACAATAAGACAGTCAACAATGGATGCGATAATGTCTCTCATTGTCTTCAAAATAACTGTCCATATCTTCATGTATGTTGAAATTAAACAATACAAAACAGACTAAAATCACTCTGAAACAAATAATAATAGGATTGCTAGATTTCACATCATGATGCTGCAGAATCAGCACCAAATATCTTAAGTGTCTCTTTTTCTTCAAAGTAGCTGTTCATTTCATTGTGCATTATATTATTGATTCTCACAAGCTTTTTAGAAGTTCTAGTCATGCATGAGTCTCTACATGTACACCTATCTTTTCTCTAATAGAAGAAAGACCAATAAGATAAAACAAACAATTCCTAGAAAAACGCAAGACAAAAAAATACATATAAACAATGATAGCAAAGGGCCCTGATCACTGACAATATAGGCCTTCAAAACAAGGTGGTATGAGCATAACTAGGGTTGTTATTTTACACGATGATGTTCAAAGATTCTGTTGATCACCTGTACAATAATATGCACAATTGTTCCAATCTATGAATGTTGATTATTTTGTTCCAAGAACTTATAAAGTTTGTAGCACAATCATCTTAGCTATCCTAAGTGTGTTACTATAATTTTAGACATTTTTCTTGTCCTTTCCTATTACATTTTCCTCATTTTTCCTGAGATATTATTTTCCCCCTTTAAGCAA